ATGTAGCCAGCCAATTGGAGCTGGTTCATGAGGTGAAAATGGCCAGTGAGGAGCCATGGGCAGTAAGAGAGAAGGTGGGTGGTGGTATGAGCTGATTCTAGGTGGCTTTGGCTCTGGAGGTGGTGGTTGCAGATGGCTGTTACTGGTGGGGGCGGTGAAGAAAAGGGATGGGCACAGTTGACGTGATTCCTTGTCCCTATCAAGATGTGCCAGATGCTCCCGCGGCCCCCAGGATCAGCAATGTGGGTGAGGACTCCTGCATGGTGCAGTGGGAACCACCTGCCTATGATGGCGGGCAGCCGGTCCTGGGTGAGTGCCAGGGCACCGGGACAGCCAAGGGCAGCTGTCAGCTGAGTGGCTGGGCACAGACTGAGCTCTCGTCTCTCTCAGGATACATCCTGGAGCGCAAGAAGAAGAAGAGCTACAGGTGGATGAGGCTCAACTTTGATCTGCTGCGGGAGCTGAGCCATGAGGCGAGGCGCATGATCGAGGGCGTAGCCTATGAGATGCGCGTGTATGCGGTCAACGCTGTGGGAATGTCCAGGCCCAGCCCTGCCTCTCAGCCCTTCATGCCTATAGGTGAACAAGCTGGGGCAAGGGGGCAGATGGCAGCAGCCTCTTAGGTGACAGGCGGCCTCTGCACAGGCCTTCACATGCCTGGGCTCCTGTGCTGTCGGGGGTAACCTGCCTTGTCTTACAGATGAGGACACCTCAGAGACTCCTCACTGATAGAACAGACACACTGGGGGACGCTAGTCATGTCCTCTATGATTTGAGACAGGGTTTTACTTATGTAGCTCTGGCGGACTCTCTGTGTTGACCAGACTGGCTTCAAACTCAGAGATCCGCCTGCCTCTGCCTTCTGAGTGCTGGGTTTAAAGGTGTGTGCCACTCCCTCAGAGACCCTGAAAGGGCAGCGAATCCCCTAGATTTGCTGGAGTTACAGGAGTTGCTGGGAACTGAATCTGAGTCCTAAAATGGACGAGTCACAGCCCCAGCCTTACTCACCTAGCCCTACAAGGCCAGGAAACACCCACGTTTCACACTTGTTGGCTTTTTCGACCCATCTAGCATGCCCTACACTGACAGGAGAGTCCTTTCTACATCCATGTAGAAAGTCATCCATCCCGTGTGGTGCAGGCTCACTCTGACCCTCTCTACCTGTCTCTGCTCAGCCCCCCCTGGTGAACCAACCCATCTGACTGTGGAGGATGTGTCTGACACCACTGTCTCACTCAAGTGGCGGCCCCCTGAGCGTGTAGGTGCAGGAGGCCTGGATGGCTACAGTGTGGAGTACTGCCAGGAGGGTTGTGAGTACCCCACCGCGCAGCCCCAACACCCTGCTGGACCCTGGGCAGCCCTCAGAAGGTGGGAGGGATTTTTCTGACTCTCCCTCATCTGTGCCCACACCCAGGCTCGGAGTGGGTGACGGCCCTGCAGGGGCTGACAGAGCGAAGCTCACTGCTGGTGAAGGACCTGCCCACTGGGGCACGGCTGCAGTTCCGAGTGAGGGCACACAATGTGGCAGGACCTGGAGCCCCTGTCATCACCAAGGAGCCTGTGACAGTACAGGAGATACTGCGTGAGTGTCCTTCTGCGATGACACCTGGCACTGACCTCCTGTTCCCAACCAAAGAGGCCCTGCTAGAGGCAGGGAGGCCTGGGGCCGGGGCAGAAGGGACCAGGGCCTTCATCTATATCCTGGTTTTCCCGAGAGCCCCTAGTTCTGGACCAGGAAGTATATAGGCCATAACTTTCTTGTTCTGTTTCACCTCCAGTGTTGTTTGATGTTTCACTCTTGGCTTTTTGGAGGGCCACCCACTCCGCTCCCAAATAAATCCCAACTACCTTTTGCCTCTGGGCTTTTTCCTTTTCTTACTTCTGCATATGTTATTCACTCTCACTCCGTGGGTGGCTGGCCCCTTATGTCCTCCTCCCCTTGTTCTATTGTTACTCCTTCCTTCTTGGCCTCATTTCTCCTATCTATCCTCTCTGCATGCCAGCCCAGCCTATCCTTGCTCTGGCCTCACTATTGGCCGCTCAGCGCTTTATTAGACCATCAGGTGTTTTAGACAGGCGAAGAATCACAGCTTCACAGAGTGAAGCAAGTGCAGCAGAAACAAAAGCCACACACCTTAGGATAATATCCCCATCACTCCAGCACACAGACCATTCACAGAGTGAGCAGGAGGCTCAGGGGCATTTAGGGTGATCTGGGATCCTCTTCCCACTCTTTTGTTGTTATTGTTGATTGAGACAGGGTCTCTGTGTAGACCAGGCTGCCTCTGCCTCTGAGATTAAAGGTGTGTGCCTCTGGCTCATTCTTCTGTTCCTTACCTCAACAAAGGTAGGATTGGTTCTCCAGATTGGAAAGAAGTAACAGATTTAACCAGTCCTGGGTAGAGGCTCTAAAAGCCTAGAATATGCCTTTACTTACATTTTACAAGGTGCGTGACTCCAAATAAGTCGCTTGCCCTCTTAAAGTGAAGCTGGATATGGTGGCATATACTTGTAATCCTGGCACTTGGAGGTGGAGGCAGGAGGATGAGGGGTTTATGGCCAGTCTAGGTTACATGAGTTACTCTTCAAAAAAAAGAGATGGTTTAACAGTTACGAGAACTTGCTGTTCTTGCAGAGGACCAGGGTTTGACTTCCAGCACCCATATGCGTGGCTCCTAACCATTCCTGAACTCCGTTCCAGGGGACTCAGTGCCTTTTTCTGACCTCTGCCAGCACACACAAGGTGCACATACATGCATGCAGACAAAATGCTCAAACACATAAATAAATCTAAAAAAGTGAAAACCACACGCACAAAACAAAACGATAGGACTACAGGGAGGCTCCGTGGATAGCATCCTGGAACTCCTGGGCTTAGGAGAATCTGGCCCAGGGCAGCTTTCTTCCCAGTTATGGTGCTCTGGACCTGGGAGATCATTCGGGCTGGGGCCTCCCTTTAACCCCCAGAACGACCAAGACTCCAGCTGCCCAGACACCTGCGCCAGACCATCCAGAAGAAGGTGGGGGAGCCCGTGAACCTCCTCATTCCTTTCCAGGTAGGTTGAGCCCTTCCCTGTCCCAAGGGAGAAACCACAGTGGAAGGATCTGGGGCTGTGGACCCTGAGACCCCAGTCCCATGGGTGCCTGGTGTAGTGCCAGCCAGCCCTTGCAGAGACAAGCTCAGGGTTGGGCCGGTCATCTTCCCCCAGGGCAAACCTCGGCCTCAAGTGACCTGGACCAAAGAGGGGCAGCCACTGGCAGGTGATGAGGTGAGCATACGGAACAGCCCCACGGACACCATCTTGTTCATCCGGGCTGCCCGCCGCACCCACTCGGGCACCTACCAGGTGACAGTTCGAATTGAGAACATGGATGACAAGGCCACGCTGGTCCTACAGATCGTGGGTATGTAGCTCAGAGCCTCCCTTTCAGCACATCCATCTCCTGACCTGGGGCCTGCAAACCTGGCCCCTGCAGAAGGGCTCTATATGCTAGCATCCCCCTGCTTCAGCTCAGGCAGCTTCAGAACGTGCAGTGATCCAATCAGATCTGTCTCCTGCAGACAAGCCAAGTCCTCCCCAGGATATCCGGATCGTTGAGACTTGGGGTTTTAATGTGGCTTTGGAGTGGAAGCCACCCCAAGATGATGGCAATACAGAGCTCTGGGGTTACACTGTACAGAAAGCTGACAAGAAGTCCATGGTGAGTCCGGGGCCCTTGGTCTCCACAAACCCTCCTCCCCTTGCTTAATCCAGTAATCTGGTTTCCTCCACCGTAGGGGTAGAGGCACAAGAGGCACCCTCAAAGAGCCCCCCTTTCCTTCATACCTCCCAGGAGTGGTTCACTGTTTTGGAACATTACCGTCGCACTCACTGCGTGGTATCGGAGCTCATCACTGGCAACGGCTACTACTTTCGGGTCTTCAGCCACAACATGGTGGGTTCCAGTGACAAAGCCACTACCACCAAGGAGCCTGTCTTTATTCCAAGACCAGGTGCCGCACCGTCACTCCCACTGTGGGGAGTTCCACTGGGGAAGGGAAGGGAGCCTAGTTTGGGGTGACTTTCTTGGTACTAAGACTTGCCGCCAACAGGCATCACATACGAGCCACCCACGTACAAGGCCCTGGACTTCTCTGAAGCCCCGAGCTTCACTCAGCCCTTGGCAAACCGCTCCATCATTGCAGGCTACAATGCCGTCCTCTGCTGTGCTGTCCGGGGTAGTCCGAAGGTAGGGACTCAAGGTCCTGGGCTAGACTGCCTGGAGGCTGGTCTCCTGGGCTCCCTTTGGGTAGTCTGCTCCTGAGTTTGCCTACTGTCTTTGCTCCATCTCTAGATATCTTCCAGCCTTCCCCTGAACAGGGCCAAAGGCCTCACTGAAAGCTCTGTTCACTCTCAGCCCCGGGCTGAGTCTGTGCTCCAGTGGGTGCTCGAACAGTCCTTCTGAACCCCACCAGTTCCCCATCACCTGGACGCTTCCGTAGTCTCCCTCCTTTTACTTGTCATACAGCCCAAGATTTCCTGGTTCAAGAACGGCCTGGACCTGGGAGAAGACGCTCGTTTCCGCATGTTCAGCAAGCAGGGAGTCCTGACCCTGGAGATCAGGAAGCCCTGCCCCTATGATGGGGGTGTCTATGTCTGCAGGGCCACCAACTTGCAGGGTGAGGCACAGTGTGAGTGCCGTCTGGAGGTGCGAGGTAAGGAGCCTGTTGGACAAAGCAGGGACCCTGGGCTTAGCTTTGCTGTCCCAGCTCAAACAGCACCTCTGGCTGCTAGAACACCCTGGCTGGCTCCTGGAGGGCTGGGAAGACACCATGGTTTGTCTTCTTCTCTCTTACAGTCCCTCAGTGACCAGGATGGCTCCCCAGAGGTGAACAGGTATGTATTCAGACCACCCGAGACACCGAGTCTAGGGGGGCTATCAGGAAAAGGGGGTGCAGGGGGCTTCAGTTCACTCACAAGGCAACCTCTGTCACAGGTACAGGCAGATGCCAGCCCATGTACCAGAAGTCCAGAAGGGAGTTGGAGGAGCCGCCCTTTCTGCCATTGCATGTGTGTGTGTGTGTGTGTGTGTGTGTGTGTGTGTGTATGCATGTGCCTCCTAGGCTGGGGAGGACTGGCCAGCAGCTGTACCAGGCAGGTCTGCTGAACTCTGCAGAAACTGACTTCATAGCTCCTAAGGAGTGTTGATCTGGGGGGGCATAAAGTGTGTGGTCTTCAGAAATGCTGGCTGGGGACAGGCCCTTCTGCCTGGCTCACTGTGTAAGGGTAATAAAAACATCGGCATAGTCAAAGGGCTGATGTTTCCTGGCCACAGAAAAGCATACCGGCGTTTGCTTGATCTTTACAGCATGTCATTTTCCAAATCAGTGTCCTGTATCCGGGAGACGTTAATTAGCACTAGAATGGGCATCAGTCTCCCCTCCACCCCCACACATGAGGAAAGGATGGACGTAAAAGTCTCAGGGGCCACAGGGCTTTCCTTTGTAGACATAGGCATGAGCGTCACCCCAGTGGCCCAGGTGGCAGCATCCGGGTAGAGTCCTGAACTTGGTGGCATTAGGATCCCATTGCGTCCACAGCTCATGACCATGCGTCTCACATGGGACACACTCCATCTAGCGCAAGCACAGGGAATCGCAACCTTCATTGTCTTCCTCCGCAGAGATCAAGTTTCCTTATAAATCTGGTGAGCAGCAGGTCTTAGGAGTGACTTCACGGTGGTGGGTCTCCTGCCCATGGAGGTTGGATGTGGGCTACTACTTTGAGTTCTACTCAACATAAAACACACTTGGCCGGAGCACAGAGTCCTGGCTCTATAGGAGTCCCAGGTCACACCACAACACACCTGCGTTTTTCTGTGACAGTGGCCAGAGTACCCCAGACCTTTACAACCCTCCTGTGGTAGGTGTCCCTCTCTGGCATCCTAGGGAGGACAGAGCCTAGATGTGGGTGAACTGGGGACGGCCCTCCTCAGGCCTTAGCTGAGAGAAGGCATCATTTAGTGCACGGCAGCCAGGGGGTGCTAGCAGAGTTAGAGACATTTACTTCACATCACACAGCTGTACACTTTCTATAAATAATGCAGAACTGAAATATTTACATTCATCTCCTGTCGAGTCCATGTCCTCCTCCGGGCCTGAAGCCAGGACACACTGCAGACAGACACGCATGCTGGACTCAGCTTGGCTCTCAGGCAGACCATTACCCTCACCCTCTGTCATCTTGTGCCAAAGGCCAGGAAGATCACTGCAAAGATCCCAACTCCGCACACGGGTCAGTCCAGGAACACCGTGTTGCCGCTGGGGTGGAGCAGGCAGCAGCATGACCTGCGGCCACAGTTTAGGAACCTTGTGAGGAAGTAGGAAGGCTGCGGTTCACACCTGCTTCCTCAGCTCCTTTCCTCCCGCCCAGCCCTCGGTCAGGAAGGCTGAGCCCAAGGAACTGTGTCATGTACCCTACAGTACCACATCACAAGACGGAGAGAGGACCCCTAAACTGGAGGGTCTAAGGACATGGAATCACAGAACAAACATCTCCAGGCCCCACAGACACACCCTCTCTGGAGCCCTGAGGGGGATAGTAGGCTAGTCTGGTGTTGGAGGAAGAGAAGGGAATGGGATGGACAGACACAAAGACACACTTCAGACATCACACAAAACCAGCTGAACTGTGGGAGGAGCTTGCAGAGAACACACACACATCCCCTTCTCCATCACCGCAGCTTCGGTGCTGAAGAACAGCAAGAGTGAGGGCGGCCCGTGGTCTGGGCCAGCTGTGGAACCCCTCTATCAGCTAGAGACAGGCCGAGGTGGGGTCCGGAGGTCTTCTTCACTGCTACGAACTGCAGCCACATACGAGAAGAGACACAGCACAGAGTAGCAGATCTCGTGGGCCTGCAGGGCACAGAAGGCCAGGCAGATCAGTCACACTGAGATTCCGCACCATCACGCACGGCCCGCACTGGGCAACACACTCACCATCGGCGTCTTGTACTTGTGGCTCACCACTTCTTTAATTTCAGGAACTAAAACCGGACAGGCAAGAGACAAAACAGAAAGTTCAAAACTAAGAGCAACAGCGTCATCCTCCCGCAGGCGGCCGCGCCCAGCAGCATTGGGCCACCCTGTCCAGGCAGACTCCTCAGACAGGCATCTGAGGTCTGCCGTGACTCTTTACTTGACAGCTGGGATCTACACACTTCTCTGGGTGCCCAAGGTGGAAGGGCTGACCGTTCTCAGCCTGGTTACAGCCACTGTCCAGGCTGTTGAGGAGCTGCAGAAGGGAGGAGAGTGGTCTCTAGCCTGTGCCTCACCTTGCTGAGATGCCCGTGAACTCGTCCTTGTCACCAGAGCCCTCAAATCTAGTCATGATAAATATCATTCCCTCCCACAACGCCACAGAGAGGGTCACAAGGTTGTAGGAGGTAACAGACTTGGAAGTGTCCTTCCCTGAGAGGCAGGAGGATCTCGAGCTTGCCCGTGTGAGGGAGAGCGTCGGGGGCTCTGGAGCAGACACACTGAGCAGAGAGACAGGCGAGTACAGCACCCAGGTGAAGGTGATGGATGAGAGCATCAGGCAAATACACACATGTTCACAGCCCAGAATGCAGATTAGGAGTCACCCCATCCCAGCCATGCAGGGGCTATGCCCGGCCAGAGGAAGGATTAGGGTCCCCAGGTCCAGCTTGTGAAACTGGGAGGATTGGGGATGGCTCCCCGCCCCCTGGGGGGGTGTAGAACGAGAGTTGGCCACACCTTCTTCTGACCCTGGGAGGTAGAATCCCTGGAACCCAGTGTTAGCATGAAATACACTCATCAAAGGCAGAGTAAGAAGCCCCAGATCATTCTCCTGAGCTGGAAGAGCTCCCCAAGTATCTCTCTGGCAAAAGAGAGAAGGGTACACAGTGAAGAGAACTCAGAACAGTGAGCCAGCACGAGGGGAGGGCACGGGGAGGAAGAGGGTGGGAGATGGGGGGACCACTGGCCATGAAAGCAGCTAGGTTGTTGGAGGAGCCCACCTACCCACTACAGGGCCCAGGCTGGGCCTGGGGAGAGGCAGCACCAGCCGAGGTCACTTTACCTGCTGGAGAGCGAAGGTTTTCATAGCAGCGATGAGGGCACAAAAGAATGAAGCACAGACACAGCAGGAACTCAAAGCCCCAGGGCGAGACCCCACTAGACCACTCCTCAGTGCCTGTTTGGGGGGCACCTGCCCCTTCTGCCTCTGAGGCCCGCTAGGCTTCTCTGGCCTCAGCTGAGTCTGCTATGGTGCCTCAAGCCCTCCTCTAGAGCAGAGGCCGGGTGGAACCCAGAGCGGGGCGTGCTGGGGAGGCTGCTTGAGACAGCCGCAGGCAACAGGACACAGCAGAGCTTGAGGATCCCATCTGCTCTGCCCCAGAACCTTCTGAGCACTGGCTGGCCCAACCATGGTAGGGGCGCTGCACACTGCCACCCTAGACTCAACCTGTCCAAGGTTCCCTGCTCTTCGGGGGTCACTGGCTAACCTGCCTTCATCCTTCCCTCTCTTCCCTATCACTCCTGCCCCTCCTGACCTCTCCACAGAGGCTTTCATCCCCTAGTCCCTCCTCTGGAGCTCCAAGGTTTGAGTTACTGCCATGTGAGTCCAGACCTAAGAGCAAAATAGTGTAATTACCAAATTCTTCCAGGACAAAGACGCCTCGAACTGTATTGCACTTTTTAATGTGATTCAGCTCTATGAAAACCTGCAAGAGAGGGAGGGAGGAGGGCGCGTAAGGCCAGAGGCTCCACCCCTGCCCCATAGAGCCCACTCTCCCAGCTATGGCCCCATGCCCCAGAGGAAACCTAGTTCCCAAAGGGAGGACATAAGAATCCACACACACACAATCAAAAGCGCTAAGGAGCGAAGAAAGCAGAAAGGGCAAGTACCTTCCGCTCCTGGCCGGAGGAGAAAGCATGGGAGAGAAACGAAGGCATTAGTTTTAATGGTCAAACCCAACCCAAAGGCCCCTGTGCTGGCCTGGGCTACTTCCCATACCCTCTCCCCAGGGCAGCACTCATGGGACACGGTGCCCCAGGGATCTCCGGCTCAGCCCTTCAGGTCTCTACCCTTCCATACATCCTCCTCCGGCGCAGAGGGCTGGCACGGGTGCAAAGCTCCCTCCAGACTGTCCTTAGGGTGGGAGGTGACAGGAAGTATGCGGTGACAACAGCTACCATGTGCTGAGCACTAGCTGGCATTTCATACATTTTCATCTACCTGGTACATGTACAGCATCCTCTCCATCTTACAGATGGGAAGAAATGGGACCAGAGCACTGATCTTCCCATGAGTAAAGCTGGGCCTCGGGTCCCATCTGCTATTCCAAGTTGCATAACCACACTGGGAAGGCAAAAGCTCTGTTCGCCCAGCTGTCTGCTCTGTGGCAGAAGATGGGTCAGGCCCACAAGCCATTGTTCCATTATCAATTCAGACCATGGAGTCAGACCCAGAAGTCAGTCTTCACTATCACTCTGTAGGATGTTACTTCTAGGAGACAAGCCTTCCAGTAAGGGCAGTTTGGACATGGTGTACAGCTGGATGGAGAACATCGAGGACTGGACGAGGAGGTGGGCAGGGTTTCTGGGTGTCTAAGAGTTCATCTTCTCTTTTGTGGGGGAGGGGGTGCAGGGGAGAGCACTGGAATGGGATAAGAAGACACCTCTTGGGCTGGAGAGATGGCTCAGTGGTTAAGAGCATTGCCTGCTCTTCCAAAGGTCCTGAGTTCAATTCCTGGCAACCACATGGTGGCTCACAACCATCTGTAAAGAGGTCTGGTGCCCCTTCTGGCCTGCAGACATGCACACAGACAGAATATTGTATACATAATAAATAAATAAATATTTAAAAAAAAAAAAGACACCTCTCTAGCACCTTGATGGTCCAAGAAGACAAAGGCACTACCCTAAGATCTTTATGTGTATACTGGCACACTGGGTCCCAGGCTGGAAATACACTGACAGGACAGGCTATCTGGGCAGTCACTTAGCTATTCCGTGTCACATCTAAACTTCCCAGCTAAACTGGCAAGGAAGGACAAAGCTACCTCAAAGTCAGATATTCACCTCCCCTGAGTTTCTGCTGCTCGGCCAGGGGCTTCAGGAAATCATATTGGGACCTAGTTCAGAGCCTTGGGAACATTATGGGATGGGAGGAAAGGCACTTGTGTGAGGAGTCAGAGCCGGGAACGGACCTGGGATGATGCGCTGGCCTCAGAGGGAATTAGCTTAAGGAATGTCCACTGAGAGAAAAAGTAGCACTGTGTTAGAAGACCAAGAGGAGAAAGAAACGTCAGCTCCTGGGTGGAGTCACATAAGGACAAAAGATCCTGAAGCACTCCCCAGCAAAGGAAGGGCATGAGCCTGTGGAGCAGGGCAGAGTGGGACACCCAGAGGAAGAGAAAGGACAAGAATCAGCAGGAGGAAAGGCAAACACACAGACAGACATACACACACACAGTTCAGGCATACTAGAAGTACACAGGACATCAGCCAGTCTCGTCTCTCAAAGCAACACCACCAAGCAAAGCACACCCTGGGAATACAGGAAGGCAGAGACACGCAGAAGGGGCCAGTGAGACGCTCTCACTCACACTGTGTGGGGAGTGGACGGGCAGCAAGCCACCCGCTCTCACTCTCTGCATCTGCTCAAAGCCTGGTGTCTCACCAAGGTCACTGTGCCCTCCCCTTTGGTTTTTCTCTTGGTTCAGCATTCACCTCTCTCTGGCCCAAGGCACTCCCTTGCTCACTGGGAGAGCACTGAGAGCCTGGAAACTGATCTTATTATAGGCAAAACACTGGGGCCAGGAGCCTTGTTCTGTTGCTTGTACCTACCTGGTTGTGCATGAACTTGAGGTTGATCCCTTCCAGGGTGACTTGAAGCAAGCCACCCTCGCCAGTCTTCATGTCCTGCACAGGGAACTCACCACCTAGTTCAGGCCCTGTGGTGAGGGGGAAGGTGTCAGCTAACTGGCAAGATGGAGAGCCCCACAGTCCAACCTCCTAAGCTGGTGTCTGTGGTCAGGAGAGGGTACTGTGGGGGGCCAACCGCTTCTCACCGGGTTTGATGCTTTGTTGCCGGGCTGCGGCACGCTCCATGCTGTCCTTCACGCAGTAGTACAGCTCACGACACTGCAGCACAGGGAGGGGACGTCCTGTGAGAGGAATCCTTCCAGGGTTCCATGTTCCCTGCTCTAGGCTGCTGCTACTACCCAAGACTGAGGTCAATGCCAGGACTCGGGGCCAGCATAAGCTACTCCACATGAGCTGGAGGCTAAAGTATGGCCCGAGGTGTGGATTTTTGAATTTTAACTTTCCAGTGAGAAACTCAGCACTTAATACTAAATGTCCATTCAATCCCCATCTCAAACAGAGACCTGAGTACCTTCTTAGTATAGAACTTGTTGAGCTGGGTCTCAGAGCCATTTCTACGCCACAGACACAGGACCTTGGTCTTGGGACAGTAGGTCATGTTGATGAGCTTCTCGTACCACCAGCGTTCATAAACGGTGCCAATGCTACTACGTAACACCAGACAGTCATCACACACCTGAAACACGTGCAGCAAAGGTCAGTGGTTCTGGGCTCTGAGAGTTTCCCGTCCCAGGCCACACTACATGTGCCCCACAGGGAAAGGACAGCACGCTGACCCAGGAGCAGCCCCGTGGTTGTTTCCTACCCAGTCCTCAGGGTCCCTCCCCAGGGGAGACCATAAGCACCGAACTGCTGGACACACTGTTCTTTTTTTTTTTTTTTTTAAATATTTATTTATTTATTGTGCATACAATATTCTGTCTGTGTGTATGTCTGCAGGCCAGAAGAGGGCACCAGATCTCATTACAGATGGTTGTAAGCCACCATGTGGTTGCTGGGAATTGAACTCATGTCCTTTGGAAGAGCAGGCATTGCTCTTAACCACTGAGCCTTCTCTCTAGGCCCTGGACACACTGTTCTGAACGAAGCCTGTGTACAAAGAGGCACGCTCCCATCAGTTAGTGTCTCCTCCTGTTTGCTCTCTAGGCCAAGGATTCAGAGCGCATCTCCTGCCTCCATCTTACAGTCATGGGAAGAAATCAGCTCTGTTATCAAACACAGGGCAGGCTTAACCAAGGAGAAAAAGTTGGAGCCAATAAATTTTCGACTCTTAGCTCTTCTCTACTCCTATAAAGTACTTACTTTTAAATTACATAAGTGACACATGGTTATTATATAAAATTACTCAATTAGGGATGATAAGTGTTGAGAAGCAAGGTACCCTTTGTATGCTTTTTTTTTTTTTTTTTTGGCAAGACAGGGTTTGTCTGTAGCTTTGGAGCCTGTCCTAGAACTAGCTCTTGTAGACCAGGCTCTGCCTCCCGAGTGCTGGGATTATAGGTGTGCACCACCATCATCCAACATGCATAAAATTCTTTTTTTAAAATATTTATTATGTATACAATATTCTGTCTGTGTGTATGCCTGCAGGCCAGAAGAGGGCACCAGACCCCATTATAGATGGTTATGATCCACCATGTGGTTGCTGGGAATTGAACTCAGGACCTTTGGAAGAGCAGGCAATGCTCTTAACCTCTGAGCCATCTCTCCAGCCCATGCATAAAATTCTTAATGTGCATCAAAGCCAGGTCTAGGGATGTAGCTCAACAATAGAGCACTTGCACACAGAAAGTACCCAGTTAGTTGCTTTGACAATCTAGTTATGATATGAAAATATAATAATTAGGAGAAGTGAGATGCCTGAGCAAGTAACAGAGCTTGCTAAGCAAGTGTGGAGACTTGAGCTTGATTCCCCAAACCCACGTAAATATGGACCAAGAGAGAACCAGCTCTACGACGTTATCTTCTGATCTCATACACATGTGGCGGTCCACACATCCACACACAAGCAATGAATGAACATATTGATGCTCTTTGAATCTTTCTCTCTCCAAGCCCTCTCTTCTCTGCTCCTGCCCAACTATCGCAGATACAGGACCTGAAGCACTGCTCATACAAACCAGACCCCAGCGCCTCCTGGGCAGGTACTCCTTCTATCTCTTATTATAGTAAACGGTACCACTTACACAGGTGCCTGAGTCAGAAGTGTAGGGGACACATAGCTCCTGTTCTGAAGCAGGAGTGTGTATGTCAGTGTAGCTGAGGAGGAAGCAAGATATCCCCGCAGACATCAGAACTTGGCCAGGTGTTTCTCACAGCTGAGGGCTAACAGCAACATCACACACACACACACACACAGTTCAGCTATGGTGAGACCTGTGTCATAAACACCCCATGCACACTTAAAAGGAGACACAGATGAACCCTATAAACGCAGAGGTGAACCTATGAAGCCACAATAAGTAAATATATAGTTAGAAAATATTCTTGCCGAGATGTTGAATCTGAAATTAAGCATCTCTGCTGGACTAACAGTTTATATGAAATACAAGCGATCGAGAAATATGCCAGGAGATGTGATCACCAAAGGGTCTAGATGCCCTCAAGGCAGAAATCAAATTTCTTCAGCAAAATAACTGTTCCTATTCACGGGCAATGCAATTATGTCACACATCCAATCCTGATAAAAAGACATGGTGAGGAAACATCTAGTTATTCAACTATTTGCATAATAACTTGATCAATTAATCATAAACAGATTGTGAGGATAAATAAGATTAAATAGGAAATAAAGCCTAGCATTGGTTCAGGGTTTCTTGTGTCTGACAGGAAACCAGAACTCACTTCCATGAAGAAGAGATCTCCATTTGTGTCTGTCCCTGCGTGTACAACAAAAGTCTGCTTCTTCATGTGGCGGCTACCACTGGACCGGATGGAGAGATCACGTCCACTCTAAGGAAAAAGAGATACTTAGAAACATTCAGATGTTGCTCTTACACACAAATCTGAATAAAAATGTCTCACTTAGCAATTAAATTCCCAACAGCTTCCTTAGCACAACCCCACCCCCCAGATAGGGTTTGTGTAGTCCTGGCTGGCCTTAAACTCAACAGAGTTCACCCGTCTGAGTGCTGGGATTACAGGTGTGCGCCACAATGCCCACCACTCAGCATAATCTGCTCGCCATGGCCACTGGGAAGAACCAAGGACTGTTTAGAGTCAGGGTCCCTATGCCTCCTTGAAAATCTCAAAGAACTTCTATTTATGTGTCTTATAGCTATATTCACTAGTCTAGAAATATAAATAAAATTTAATGCTTATTAATTCATTTAAAATAATTTGTTGGTAGCCAAGCATATAAAAAAGAACATACCTTTTACAAAATATATTTCTCCTAATAACAGCAATAATAAAAAGAATATCTCCGGGCTGTGGCGCACGCCTTTAATCCCAGCATTTGGGAGGCAGAGGCAGGTTGATTTCTGTGAGTTCAAGGCCAGCCTGGTCTACAAGAGCTAGTTCCAGGACAGGCTGCAAAACTACAGAGAATAATAAATTAATTAATTAATTAAAAAAAACTACAGATAAACCCTGTCTTGAAAATAAAAAAATAAAATAAAATAAAAAAATAAAAAGAATAGCAATGTGTTAACTATTTGAAAATCTCTTGAATGTTTGGCTTAGGAGAAAGTAGCTGCGTTTTTGAGCTGGGCACAGTGCCACACGCTCAAGAGGCTGAGGCAGGAGGATCACAAGTTTGAGGTCAGCCTGGGTTACATTAAAAACACCATTAAAGGGCTGGAGAGATGGCTCAGAGGTTAAGAGCGTTGCCTGCTCTTCCAAAGGTCCTGAGTTCAATTCCCAGCAACCACATGGTGGCTCACAACCATCTGTAATGGAGTCTTCTGACTTGCAGGCGTACACACAAACAGAATATTGTATACATAATAAATAATAAAATATTTAAAAAAAAAACACCATTAAAGGGGCTGGAGTGACAGCGCAGAGGTTAACAGCACTGGCTGCTCTTCCAAAGGTCCTGTTTCAAATCCCAGCACCCACATGTGGCTCACAACCATCTGGCGCCCTCTTCTGGCCTGCAGGCAGACATGCAGTCAAAGCACCATATACATAATAAATAAGCAAATCTTTAATTAAAAAAAAAACTACCATTAAAAAATAAAGAACAGAGAGGGAGGAGCTGGCCCTGATGCATTCCTGTGATCTCCACATTGGAAGGTAGAGGCTAGAAGATCAGAAATTTAAGAAGACCATTCTTACTTAGCAAACTAAGAACCAGGAATTCCCCTTCTTCTTAAAAAAAAAAAAAAAAAAAAAGTCAAGTGGTGGTGGTGCAGCCTTTAATCCCTGCACTCAGGAGGCAGAGGTAAGCGGATCTCTGTGAGTTCAAGGCCACCCTGGTCTATACAGTTAGTTCCAGGACAGGCTCCAAAGCTACAAAAAAAAACAAAAGTAAAAAAAAATAAATAAAAATAAGGTACACACCTTTAATAGTAGCACTTAAGAGGCATAAGCAGGCCTGGCCTACACACTGAGTCCCAGGCCAACCAGTGCTACACAGTGAGCCCTGCATCAATAATAAAATAGAACAAAACAAAATAAAAAAGTGTTGACAAAATAGCTCAGCAGGTAAAGGAACATGACACCCTGGGTTTGATCTTTGGCACCCACACAGTAGGAGAGAACTCCAGCAGCCTGCCCTCTGACACACATGCACACAAACAAATCAAAATCCAATTTAATAAATAAGAGTTACAGATTCAACGCAATACCCAGCAAAATTCTTCAAAGACTTCGAAAGAACGGTACTCAACTTCATATGGAAAAGCAAAAAACCCAGGATAGCAAAAACAATCCTGTACAATAAAAGAACTTCTGGAGGCATCACAATCCCTGACTTCAAACTCTACTACAGAGTTACAGTACTGAAAACAGCCTGGTATTGGCATAGGAACAGACAGAAGGACCAATGGAACCGAATAGAAGTCCCGGATATCAATCCACACATCTTCGAACACCTGATTTTTGACAAGGAAGCAAAAAAATATCAAATGGAAAAAAATAAAGCATATTTAACAAGTGGTGCTGGCATAACTGGATATCAACATGTTGAAGAATGAAAATAGATCCCTATCTATCACCATGCACAAAACTCAAGTCCAAATGGATCAAAGACCTCAACATAAAGCCAGCCACACTAAACCTCATAGAAGAGAAAGTGGGAAGTACACTTGAATGTATTGACACAGGGAACAACTTCCTACATATAACCCCAACAGCACAGACACTGAGAGAAACAATTAATAAATGGGACCTCCTGAAACTGAAAAGCTTCTGTAAAGCAAAGGACACAGTCAACAAGACAAAATGACAGCCTACAGAATGGGAAAAGATCTTCACTAACCCCACATCAGACAGAGGCCTAATCTCCAAAATATACAAAGAACTCAAGAAATTGGTCACCAAAAGATCATATAATCCAATAAAAAAAATGGAGTACAGACCTAAACAGAGAACTCTCAACAGAGGAATCTAAAATGGCTGGCTCAGGGGCTGGAGAGATGGCTCAGAGGTTAAGAGCATTGCCTGCTCTTCCAAAGGTCCTGAGTTCAATTCCCAGCAACCACATGGTGGCTCACAACCATCTGTAATGAGCTCTGGTGCCCTCTTCTGGCTTGCAGGCATAAACACAGACAGAATGTTGTATACAAAATAAATAAATAAATATTTAAAAAAAAATAAAATAAAATAAAATGGCTGGCTCAAAGACACTTAAGGAAATGTTCAACATCCTTAGCCATCAGAGAAATGCAAATCAAAACAACTCTGAGATTCCATCTTACACCTGTCAGAATGGCCAAGATAAAAAACACTGATGACAACTTATGCTGGAGAGGTTGTGGGGGAAAGGGAACACTCCTGCATTGCTGGTGGGAATGCAAGATGGTACAGCCCCTTTGGATGTCAGTGTGGCGATTTCTCAGAAAAGTAGGAAACAACCTTCCTCAAGACCCAGTAATACCGCCTTTGGGTATATATCCAAAGGATGCTCAATTGTACCACAAGGACATGTGTTCAACTATGTTCATAGCAGCTTTGTTTGTCATAGCCAGAACCTGGAAACAACCTAAATGCCCCTTGACTGAAGAATGGATAAGGAAAATGTGGTACATTTACACAATGGGGTACTACATAGCAGAAAAAAAAAAAAAAACGACATCTTGAATTTTGCAGGAAAATGGATGGAGCTAGAAAACATCATTTTGAGTGAGGTAACCTAGACACAGAAAGACAATTATCATATGTACTCACTCATAGGTGGTTTTTAAACATAACGCAAAGAAAGCCAGCCTACAAACCACAATCCCAGAGAACTTAGACAACAATGAGGATACTAAGAGAGACTTACATAGATCTAGTCTACATGGGAAGTAGAAAAAGACAAGATTTCCTGAGTAAATTGGGAGCATGGGGACCTTGGGGGAGGGTTGAAGGGGGAGGAGGAGGGGCAGGGAGGGGAGCAGAGAATAATGTAGAGCTCAATAAATATCAATAAAAGAAACAAGAGTTGTCTTTGTTTTAAAAAAAAATGTAGTTGAGCGTGGTGGCAAACACCTTTAATCATAGCACTTGGGAGGCAGAGACAGGAGGATTTCTGTGAGTTTGAGGCCAGCCTGGGCTACACAGCAAGTTCCAGGACAGGCAGAGCTACTACTTATTGAGAGATTGTCTCCATAAGGAGAAAGAGAAAACAGTTAAATTCTCATATCTGCTTCTTCACTCAAACTATTGAGTGTATGGCTTAAGCCAAAGAAAATGTCATCTCACAGGTGAGCATTGGAAAGGGCAACTTCTAAAAAGCTTTGTAAACCAGGCTGGCCTCGAACTCAGAGGCCACAGTGGATCACAGAGATCCGCCTGCCTCTGCCTCCTGAGTGCTATGATTAAAATTATGTACCACCACCGCTTGGCTCTGTTTTCTGTTTTGTTTTCTTAAAAGAGGCATTTTAGTGTTGTGGTGAGACAGAGTTCATCCTGTAGATCTGCAGACATTCACAGACCTTCCACAGAAACTGCTATCCTATGAGAGCTGGAGTACTTAAGAGTCCCAACACTGGACAGAAAACCTCACCGGGACTACTGCCCCTTTCTCAAAACTAGGGATTAACTGGGATGCATAGTGACAGGGCCAGAAATGTTTCATGTGGAAGCCCTGCAGTAGGGAAAGGTGACAAGCAGAATGGGGGTAACCCAAGGGATGGTCTGGTATGCTCACCAGATTGGTCAGCTGATCAAGCACCTCATTGATTTGTTGGCTGTATACAAGACCAATGTGGGACTTTCCCATTAGGCGCCGTACTTTCTTCCTGATGTCATTCTTGTTCACCTGGAAAGCCAAGACAGGAGTCTTAATAAAGGATCTGCTGTCTTCCCAACAGAGGCAGAGACAAAATGTCTGTTTTCACATTATCTATCTGAGAAAAATGAAGTTCTGAAGAACTGTTTCACTGACTATGGCAGAACATTATCAACTATGTATTCTATCCAGTGGAACTCAACCGTAGAGGAAACCTTACAGGAAATGCTGATTTGTTTTCTGTCAGTTTGACACAAGCTAGGAAGAGGGGATTCTTCTGGGAAGAGGGATTCTCAATTGAGAAAAGTGATTCGGTCAGCCTGGCCTGCAGGTAATCCTGTGGGGTATTCTTTATTAATGACTGGGGTTAGGGAGCCCAGCACACTGCTGGCAGTGCCCTCCCTGGGCAGATGGTCCTGGGGTAGCAGACTGAGCCGGGTAGTAGTAGCACTCAGAAGGCAGAGCAGGTGGATCTCCGTGAGTTCAAGGCCATCCTGGGCTACAGAGTGAGTTCCATGACAGCCAGAGCTACACAGAGAAACCTTGTCTCAAAAACCAACCAACTAAACAAAAAGGTGGCAGGAAAAGCTGGGCAGTGGTGGCGTAGGCCTTTAATCCCAGCACTTGGGAGGCAGAGGCAGACAAATCTCTGTGAGTTCGAGGCCAGCCTGATCTACAGAGCGAGTTCCAGGACAGGCTCCAAAGCTACAGAGAAACCCTGTCTCGAAAGACAAAAAAAAAACAAAACAAACAAAAAAGGCAGTCTGAGCAAGCCAACAAGAGTGCTCCTCTGTGGTGTTTGCATCGGTTCCTGCCTTGGTTTCCAGCTAGTGACGGACTGTGACCAATAAGCCCTTTCGTTCTATGTGGACATAATGCTTATGACAGCAACAGAAACCTAACTAAGACACAAGATCAGTCAAGACAAAAAACTTAAAGAACTATCTCCATATTTGGGCATTTGATCCCTTCCCAGTTAGAGGCTAGGGAGAAAAGAAGAAATTCCTTATTCTCACAGCCATTGCCTGTCACCACCTCTCCAAAGCCATTCTCTCCCAGAGAACTCTTTTGCTTGGTAATATACTTTCCCACAGCAGGACATGAAGCACAACTCAAATTAGGGTTTATCATTACTTTGTTAATAGTGGGCATTTTTCTTTTTGACAAGATTTTATATAGTTTTATTTTGTCTTGAACTTATAGTCGAGGCTGGCTTTGAATTCCTGCTTCTCCGGTCTCTATCTTCCAAGTGCTTTGTTTTCTGGCATGAACTACCATGCCTAGTTAGGCAGATTTTTCCAGCAATAGGAAATTATGTATGACAAAGGGCTGGTGCTGAAGATAAATTACGAGCCTCTGGAGGGCTTAGAAAATGAATTAAATCAGTTGTATTCTGTGGGGAGCTCTACTGCCTCTTAAAACAATTTAGCAAAAAGAGCACATATAAAATTCAAAGTAGACAAGAAACAAGTGATAATTTATTTTATAACATTCACCAACAAAAACCCAGCCACTAAGTTAAGCCAATAGTATGCAAGCTGGCAAAGAGGCCTTGGACTCTCAGCTAGGAAGAAAGCGCCAGTCAGACACTCTGACAGCTTCCCAGCCATCCCAGAATTTAGGCACTAGAATAAGCCTTGCTCTTCAAGCACCAGTGACAGCGGGCATCAGCAAAGCCAACATTACCTTCATCAGCAGCATATAGGATATGAGGTTGTGTAAAAGTGTGGCCAGTAAACGATCTTCATCATCCTCCAGGCGCTTCCGGTCATGTTCTCCCAGGGACAGGTACCTGAGCAGAAGACCAGGTACAAGTTAGTTCTCAGGTTGGAGACCACAAAACACAGCTGGAAGAACTGAATAGGGATAGTCTCATCTTTCCTAAGTCCCATACCTGTCGATCATTTCCTGAGGACCTTGGTCCATGCCCATCCCTTCTCTTTCCAACATCACGGCGTCTAAGAACGCATCTTCCCAGAACTGCATCTGGTCCCATAAAGTGGACCGCTCTTTGCCTGAATGGAACAATGTTATTTCCTGGGGGTGTGTGGGGGGGCGGTGTGTGGCCTATTTAACATTCCAAGAATATGGCTGCCAAATGAAAAGCTAGTAAGTCCCAGATAAAACAAGGCCTTTCCAAACTCCAGGGCAAGGAAACCAAACCTTTCTCCCAGATCTAATGCGCTTGCCACCAACCCCAAAGGCCTCCAGCAAGGCCCAGCCCTTCCCAAGCATGAAGAATAAACACAGCACACAAAGAAAAGCCGTTACTTATAGAAAAGGTCTCCATAGCAGCATCCTCTAACTGGTCCCACATCGATCCTTTGTCCCTTCCTGCCAATTTGTGAGCAGGAAGGAACATGGTAGCAAGAGGAAAGAAAGGAGACAGAAACACATAGCCTGTTGATTAGTACCAAAACCCAGATTCATCTAGTTTTCAGCTCCTGCTTATCCCACAGATTCCTTGGTTCAGATTTCAAAATACTATCTGGACTGGTGGGATGGCTCAGTAGGTACAGGTGCTTGCTGTCCAGGCTGATGACCTGAGTTCAGTCCCTGAAGCCCACGTGAGAGTAAGAAGGAAAAAAACAATCTCCACAAGTCCTCTGACTTGCACCTGTATGCACAGCACATACCACCCCCATTAAATAAATAAATATTGAGACGAAGTTTAATAAGAAGTTTAAAATCAGATGACATGCCATCTGAAGTCAGAACTGATATTAGCAGAAGGCCAAGCGGCAGCTGCTGGTGCTGCCCCGCTCCCATGGCTGAGCCCAGGTTTCTTCTGACCGGTCTCTTACCTAGTAGTCCCTCATAGAGATAGACTCGCTGGCCTACGTCCTCGGAAGAGCGAACTGGACTGCCAGCCAACTTCTCCTTTGGCTTCAAGCTATGGGCTTTACCCTAGAAAGACAAGGTAGGTCAGATGCCAGACTGATAAAAAAACAAACCAGTCACCGCACTGAAAGGCTCACTACTCAGTGGACGTCACCATTGGCAACACAATTATCCCTACTAGGTTTGGCTAAGTCATTCTGATAATCCTGTTTCCTGTTACTGCTTCCTAAAGCAGGAAATGAAGGCCTCGCTCTGTCTCCCCTTTAGTCTCAGTGCTGTTTCCTTTTAGGGCTGGGCTTGTCTTTAACCTTAGCTTTTTAGCAAGTTTGAGGCCAGCCTGGGCCACGAGAGATCCTGTTTTACACCCTCACCCCACAAAACAAGATAAAATCTTTGTAGTAGCGTGACACAGTAGAAAGAACACAGAGTCCGGCCAAGGTCCAGATCCCTACTTATTATTTTTTTAGCTGCTGAGGATCATTTTCCTTGTCTGTAACATGAATATTATAATATGTCCCTCACAGGACTAGAGAAATGATTAAATTAATTAGTTCATTTACTTAATGTGCACACATGCATGTTCACATGTGTGTGCACATGTCTAAGAGTGTGAGGGCCCAAGAAGATAGGAGTTTCCCTCCACTACTTCCTACATTATACACACACAAATCAAACAAGAAAATCCTTTACTGAGTCAAAAAATGTAATTAAACTTTCTCACCTCAACCATACAAACACCCTTGTTCAACAGCATGAGACAACTAAGGCTGTGTGGAAGGAAGGGTCAGAAAAGGTAGCACACGGTGGCCAGTATCCCAGAGTCAAAGCACAATCAAGGAATTTTAAAGTTTTTTATACTTTTTAATGATTTATTTATTTTTATTTAATACACATTGGTGTTGTGCCTGCATGTATATATGCATGAGGGCATTGGATCCCCTGGAACGGGAGTCACAGACAGTTCTGAGCTGCCATGTGGGTGCTGGGAATCGAACCCTGGTCCTCTGGAAGAGCAGCCAGTGATCTTAACAGCTGAGCTGTCTCTTCAGCCATAAAAATGTTTTAAAGACTTTTTAAAGTATCAGTTATTCATTTTGTACATGTGTGGCCGGGGAGGGTTTACAGATGTGCCATGGCACGCATGTGTAGGCCAGAGAACATCTTTCAGGAGTTGGTTTTCTCTTTTCACCATGAAGTTCCTCAGGTTGTCAAAACTTGAAGGCCTTTACCATCTCCCAGGGTTCCGCATCTTTTTGACAAGGCTTACTATGTAGCAGACTGGCCTCAAACTTAAGATCCTTCTCAGTCCCTTGAGAAGAAGACAGGCATGAGCCATCACAACCAGCTGGAAGGATCTTTTAAATTCTCTTATTAAAACAGTCTGTGTAGACTCAGAGTCAGGCCTCATAACTTGAGCCTCCCTGCTAACTCTTCATCTTATCTCGGACTCCACTGGCTCTACTGGGCACAGACAGACTGAAGACCCCAGAGACACAAATAATCACCAGTGGTGAAAATGACTTCATTTAGATCGTGTCTTCTACTGTCCTTTATAGACAAAAGGACTGAAAAGCCCTTGTGGAGAATATCTACTGAGTGCATAGGTAACGCTATCTAAAGAAGCAGGAGTGTGCTACAAAGCAGAGGGGTGAGGTAAGAACTGAGTGATTGATTTCATCTGGGTATGGGGGGCACACACTTGTAATCCCAGCACTTGGGAAATGGAAACAGAAGGATCACAGGCTTGAAGCCAGCTGGGGTTGCACACAGTGAGATTGTTTCAAAAAAGAAGAGAAAGGAGGGAGAGAAGGAAGGAAGGAAGGAAGGAAGGAAGGAAGGAAGGAAGGAAGGAAGGAAGGAAGGAAGGAGCCATCCCAGCAGCAGAGGACCTTTCCTCCCTTTCCCCTGCGGCACCAGGCGCGTGCTCAGTTCACACTGAATCACACCTCCCACCCCACCTTTTTCTTTTCATCTTCTCTTAACTTCTCATTCTGTTGTGAACCACTTCCTCTCCCATTAAAGAAAGTCTTCTGTTAATGAATAAAGCTTACAAAGATGGTGCTTGTGGCAGAATTGGTTTCAATTTCACTATCAGACAGAGTAGCCCGAGAACTTGTCAAGTGGGCACTGCCTTCTCCTTCTGGCCCATCACCTGCATTGCTGCTCAGGTCGCTGTCTGCTCCAAGGGTCTCTCCAGAACTGTTACTCACCTAGAAAGACAAACAGCAGTGAGGGACAGTCCAGAGGACTGCCAGTGCCAACTAGAACCCTATGCTACTGAAAGAATCATTTTTCAGGTGTGTCAAACAGCTGCCCCCAGTCCCCTTTATGAGATGAGTGACCTTCTGCGCACACACCTGAGAATCAAGCCAACCTGAGATTAAGAACAGCCTCCAAGGGAAGGACACCCACACCTCACCCACAAAGAAGCCAATGTGGTATCCCCCCTACCACGGTGCTAACTTCAGAATCCTGACTTGAGCTTCGGATCATAACAGCTGGATTCACACCAATGACAGAGTCTTGATCAGTCCTCTGAAATAAGGCAAGGGAACATTGCTTCTAGAAAGATCCTGAGCAATGAATTCTTTTCTTAGCTGGAATATATGTAACTTATACAATGAAATACCACATTAAATAAATACATACTCACTGTGGGAAACAAAAGAAAGAATAAAGAAATAAGAATAAGCCATAAATCTACTACCCAAATTAATCTCTATTTTTAGTATATTTCCTGTTAGTCTTCTAGTCTTTTCTAGATATATATTTTTAAAACTAAACTGAAGTTGGGCAGAGTAGCACACATCTTTAATCCTAGAATCTGAAAGACAGGGGCAAGCAGATTTGTGGGTTCTAGGCCATCCAGGGCTACACAGTAAGATTCCCCCCGACATACATATGTAACTTATGTGTATGTGTGTGTGTGTATGTATGTTTAATTATACTATGTTGCTAAATTTTTGAAAACACAATTGATAGCAATATTGCATTCCTTGGTTCTATTATATTTATTTAATTATTCCCTATTATTGGTTATATTTAAGATTGTTTCCTTCTTTTGTTTACTGTAAGAAATATTTTGAGGATTAGGATATAACTTAGTGTAGTCTTTACCCAGAATATTTACACTGAATTTAATTCCCACTGCTAATAAATTATATATACATATATCTTTGAGATAGTAGTTAAGTCCTAACAGCTTTCAAGAAGGCTATCACAAACCTGGGAAGCAGATGCCAGGCTCACACCACTGTCTGCGCTGATCTGGGACTTTTTCTCCTCTGTTTCACCAAGGTCAAAGACAGGCTTGATTACCTCCGGCCCTGAGTAGGGGAAGACTTCTGTTATTCAGTGCACAGAAGCTTGGGGCAGGCTGGTGAAGGGAGTAGAACTCCTCACATCCCAGTCACTTCCCAGGAACTGCCCCTCCCCACCACTGGGAACCACGAGAAAAGTCCCCAGAAGCCTTAAGAACCAAATAGTACATTAGACCTGGCCAAGGGTTTCTGCAGCCATCTTCCCAACCTGAGAAACTTCAGAGCAAATCACCCTAACACAAAACATCCTACAAACTAAGTCAGAGTTCCACCTGTGCCTGAGACTATTATAGTGTTCCCAGGATGCTCAGTGATTCTTGACAAAGGTGTCCAAAGAAGTCAGAAAAGGTTAGGTCAAAGGAAAGAAAGAAATACTGTTTCCTTGGGCACTGCCTACCCCCACCCACACCATCTACATTTGAGACAAAAACAAAAACAAAACAAAAACAAAACCCCAAAAATATTTTAACTCACCCACCCCCTATAATATCGCAGAAGGACAGAACGACAGGAAGCAAGAACATGTGCCTAGGCAAGCTACTAGAGAGAGCTGGGAAGCTACAGACTCAACACAGAGGGACAGCAACCATCTCTGCCAACTACACCCACAGGCCTAGAGTAAAGGTGAGGGAGGTATCAGCCAAGGAGGGTGCCCCACCAGCTCTCCAACACCTGATTGCTAATGAAGGTAGGGGCAAGGAGCAGCTTACCAGTCACACGCCTGGGATTCACGCACCACCTGCCCCAAGAATCCTCTATCCTGTCTTTACAACTCTTCCTCCAAATACCACCCAAAAACAAATTTGGGGTGGGGCTGGCAAAGGGAGCCCGCCCCAGCTGGGCCTGGGAAGTTGGCAGGTATGGGAGACTGAGGGGCAGGAAGGGGCATTTGTTCCTTACTCTGTTTTTCCAAAGCCTTTTGCTTTTTCACTTCCTGGTGCTTGTTCCACAATTCTACCCCAGATGCAATGCAAGCAGGAGAGAGAGACAGAGAGTCAGAACTTGTCAGATTGTCAGAGGACCAGAGACCCCCCAACCCAGCTCATTCTGTTTCCAACACTAGATTATCAGTTAAGAGACACAAAGACATCTTTGCTTGGGTAGGGTTGCCACCCCCATCCCAAATCATGAACTGAAGCCTCTAAATTTCTAATCCTATTCCCAATGTAAACACTGCAGAATCTTTGAGCTGGAAGGGCTCTTCATGAAAGTGCTTTATTCTGTATGAGAAACTGGACCCTGCTGGAGACGGATCAGCAGACTCCCAACAACACACCATGATCTCTCTGCCAAAGGAGCTGAGCAACAGCCACACTTACAAGTTACAGATAAGAGACAGTCACATCAAGCAGTCAAAGAATTTCAGAAACGAGCAGAAATTCACTTGACACACTGGATTGGACAAAGGCCAGACCATGCATTTGAGTAGCATTCCTCCTGTTGCTACCAAAAACATAAAACAAACAAACAAATCAATTTACCCTCAGAACTATGGCCTGCTCAATCCAAAGACCCATTCTTAGACACTATCTAGGAAAAATGCTTCCAGTAGACACAAATGAGAACAGAAAAATGGCCAAGACTAGCTCTTCAGTCCAACAAAGCACAGGGAATACCAATCCTTGCTTTATTTTTTTTCTTTCCTAGAAGGAACTTCAGAGTTTATTTAGTATAATCTCTTTACTTCCTAGATGAGGTGATAGACATTCTGATGGGGAAGTGATCTGTCCAAGAAAATTCAAGACTTTCAGGAAAACAGTGTTTGTTTCTGGAACATTGTGTCGAGCTTTACTACTGCTTCTAGGAGACTGTCTGCCAACCAGAGACCTGGAGCTGTCCTAAGAGGAGACTGTCTGCCAACCAGAGACCTGGAGCTGTCCTAAGAGGAGAGCTGCTTCTCCTGTGAGAATGCTGACAGTGGCTAGAGGCTGGCAGAGAAGCATCGGTTTAGGACGGCAGAGAGCGAGGACCTAGAATCAAAGGGAAAGTAGCTTAGAAGACTCCAGGTCAAGCAGGAGTGAGCCCAAGACGCGACGCCAGAGAGAAAATGGAGGAACCCTGACAAGTTTTGAGTCTGAGTGGAAAGACAAAGAAGAGTCTGCTCAGAAATGCATGGCCTGGGAGTCCAGGACCCAAGCACGCTGGAAAGGAATTCATCTCAGAGCAGTATAATGCTGGGGTGGGCGGGGGCTAGATGGTCATAATTTTATATCCCAAAGATGTACCTATAAATTCCCTAATAGTTTCCAGGAACATGTTTCTCTATGTGAAGAAATTCAGAGGTAAATAAGAAAGGGACAGAGAACATAGCTCAGACTCCCTGCACTGCATCACACGGTCTCTAAGCAAACTTCACTGTTCCTCAAAGACGCTGGTGAGGTGGCTGGAGAGCATGCAGGAAGACAGACACAGACAAGAAAATGCTGCTGGAAGCGGATAAACCCTCCTCTCTAAAAAGCAAGCATGGGACAAGAAAGTCAGGACTGTGGATGAACTGAGAGGAAGGAAAGTTATTTAAGAAGCCAAGACCACTTGGACATAGCGAACGCAATGGTGCATACCGACAGACGCTACAAAATTCTCTTCTTTTAGACTTCTTGTGTCCAGCTCCTTAGGACCCTTCCCTGTAGCACTTGGTGCCCGAGGACCCAGCTGAGGGACCCTTAGCTGTGCCATAGCTTTTGGGTCACCCCGCCCAGCCAGACCAGGATCCTTGTCCACAGGGGTCTCTGTTGGGCTTCTCTTTCGCTTGTCTGGTTCTGTGGGAAGGAACAAATACAGAAAGTGGCTAAAGGAGGCATCCATCAGACAGGGGTCAAGTCAGGAAAATGAGAGGGGAGAAGCCAGAATGCCAGGGGATGTGGAGCAGTTAGTACATGGAAGGAAAAGCTAAGGCCTTGGTCTCCATAACAGGAAAGGATTTCCTACATATAAACACACCAGAAAACAATCCCAAAGAGAGACAGTAGGGAACGGCACTGAGAGACGACACGTAGAATCCCTACCTTTACTATAGTAGTGGGTCTGGGCAATCTCCAAAAGCCCAAAGATGCTGGCCATGCCACCCAGACCTGCGTGGGCATAGGACTGCTCAAGACTGAGGACCGTGCACTTGAGGAGGTCTAGCATCCCCTTGTACACCTTCCGACTGATCTCCTGCAACAACAGCCAGGACCCAGAGCTAGCAACTTTTCTTAACTTCCACATCTTTCTGCCCCGTTGATTCTGACTCTGCAGCCCACACACTTACCACATCTTGGATGACATCCTGCCGGGCATCATCCTCGGACTGCACTGCACGGTTCAGTTTGCTCAGTACAAAGACTCGAAGCTGCTCGCTCTCTAGCAGCCGGCGTACCTTTTTCATGTTGAGCCAGCCCACGCCCTGGCCATCCAGCACACTGTGCACCACTTCCTTCAGGAACTGTTGGTTCTCACTACAGGGCCCACAAACCACTTCTATGGTCATCTGATCCTTGGCAGAGCATCCCCTCTTTCACCAGTCAAGATGTTTACCCCAGGGTAAAGGATAAAACCAAGTCTCCAAAAATGGCCACCACATCTCTATGCCCCTAAGGATCTTGTCTGTCAACTTCCCACAATCTTGCAATTTCACCTTTCTCCACACTATAATACTGTTGCCTGGGGACTGGTTAGAAATGGGCAGGGGTGGCACACGCCTTTAATCCCAGCACTCAGGAGGCAGAAGCAGGTGGATCTCTGTGAGTCTGAGGCCAGTCTGGTCTACAGAGGTACAGAGTTAGTTCAGCCAGGGCTATGCAGAGAAACCCTGCCTCAAAAAAAAAAAAAAAATAGAAAAAGGGTGGGGGAGTACCGACCAAAACTGATTAAATATACTGCTCGCCCCAGTTTTGAGCATCCCTCAAAAAAAAAAAGGAACATTATCTTATTAACACTACCTGAAAACTGTTCTGCTAGTTGAGTGTGGGGGTGCATGTCTGTAACCCAAGTACTGGGGAACTGGAAATAGAGATCAGTTCAGGGTCATCCTCAGCTACATACTGAGTTTGAGGCAAGCATGGTAGGCAACATGAGACTGTCTCAAAAAATAAAACAAAACAAAGCTGCCCTGCCATTTATTACCTGGAATTGCTGGACCGGCCCTGGGGTGATGGAGGCTCTCTCTTCACGGTCGGACTGTGTCTGATGACAGATGACTTCTGGTCCACCAGGGCCCTCCTGTTTCCTACAGTAGGGAAGGCAGGAATGAGACGCATCACGGGCACAGTCCGGGGCTCACATCATCGTATCCACACCCATCCTCCGGAAGGTCTGCACTGGGTGCAACAGAACAGCACACACAGGTAGGAAATAGCCATGGCAATGTGCAGGAGGTAGGGATGGAGGTCAGGCCACTCCACATGCACCAGCAGCATGCCCCATGGGCTGCATGGGTGTTGTGGGGGACAGGCAAGGCAGGTCACTCATGTGACGTTGCTTGCTCCAAGAGGAGGCCCTCAGGCAGGCAGAGAAGATGCTAGGGGGAAAAAAGTCATGCACAGCTCACGGGGAAGACCCACCTTCACCACTCCCAGGGCCGGCTTCAGTAACAATCTCCATTAGAGTATTTAGCCCAAATACTGGGACAAAAATACACAATTAGTAGGTGTACCACAGTACCTGAACCCCTGTACCCCTTGATGGAGCAGTAAGTCAGATCATCTGAGCACTCTCTCATGGAAAGTGCGAATAACCTTGGTTCTTGGGCACATCAAAGCTGGAAGCCACGTGATCAAGAGACAACCAAGGCTCTAAGAAAGCCCATTCTTAGGCCTGGGACCTCTCAAAGCCAGGGGCAAGGTAAATGACACAGAAGGCCTTCATATACTAAACAGGCACATGCATGAAAGAAGGAACACTGTTTTGTGAATTATCTAGCACAGGGATCCTGAGGGGCTCTGGGTACCCACAGGGAGGAGACATCTTGCAGATGCTATCATGGGAAGGAAGGGTGCAGTAGGAGGATGGAGCATGGGTAGAAAGGCTAAGTGCAGCACATGAGATGAAGCATCGCATGCAATGAAAGAGTTTCAATTACTCTTCCCTTCACATGTACCAGATAAAAGCCAGAGAGGCCAACACACCTTTCTATCCCTAACCCACCCATCACTGTAGCAATGCTAGTTACTGTTCTGTGTTACTAACCTAACTTCCTTTCACCCACCTACCCCACAGCCCCACCCACTAAAGAATACTCCTGAGGCCCCACTATCTCTAGCTGGATATGACGGGAGGTCCATGCCCATAATCTTAATGCTAGGGAGGAGGACTCTAAGTTTGAGGGGCTCTCCACAGGAAGACCCTGTGTCAATAAAATGATTATTTCTCACTGTTCCTACTACTATAATTAAATATTTCAGTACAATATCCACAGATAACAAACAAAGGTCAAATTAAATTGAGAAAAGCCCCTCAAGCTACAAAGATCACAGGTGAAATTAAAATATGGTCTGACCCTAGAAGCCAATCAATACCACTGACAGACTAAAAATTAGCACGAATCCATAGTAAATGGCTAAATTCTATAAACACTGCTAGTCTGCCCATAATTCTCCTGTGGACCAGCTCCTTGGCGAGGAGTTTACCCAAGTTCACGCAGTGGGAATCTGAAGATGACTGAGCTAGCACACACTTCTTTCTGATATGGTCCTCCTCAAAGCAGAAGTAATCCTACGCGGCTATCACCTACTGATGTAACAGGGCCCCTCCAGCTACAAAGGTGATTTCTATCTGCAACCACTTAGCGCCTATGGTGTGCAGTGAAAGCCATGATAAGCAATATGAGGCAACAGCCTGGTCCAATGACTTGTGGTACACATGGCTCCTGACAAATACTTAGATGTCTGACATGTCTCTCAGAGAAACCTGATTTGACAAAGGAAAGGTTGTAGCTACCTTTCAGGCTGGGGAATGGTGTAGTCTTCTCTCGGGCACCTTTGGTGGGCAGTGTGAGGTTTGAAAGGCTGAAGCTTGTACTATGGTTCCGATACAGGCTGCCTACAAAGGAGAGGGTATGAAAAGCCATGAGCTAATGTTGGAGGAGAAGCTGCTTGTTCGTCCCAGCCACCCAGAACCAAAATAATCTCACAGAAACTGTATTAATTAAAACACTGCTTGGCCCATTAGCTCTAGCTTCTTATTGGCTAACACTTACATATTAATTTAACCCATCTCCACTAACTGTAAAGCCACGTGGCAGTGGCTTACCGGTATAAGTTTCAGCATGTCTGACTCTGGCAGCTCCATGGCTTCTCCTGACTCCGCCTTCTTCCTCCCAGCATTCCGTTTAGTTTTCCCTGCCTAGCTCTGTTCCCCTACAGTTTTGCCATAGGCCCAAAGCAACACATAGACAGAAGGACCTCCCATACCATTTCCCCTTTTCTGTTTAAACAAAAAAGAAGACTTTATCTTTAACATAGTAAAATTACATATAACAAAACAGTTATCAATTAATTAGGAAAATCTCCCTTAAGGGAGGGGCAGCATGCCACCAGCCCCCCCCCAAAAAAGCTAAACTTTGTGTCTCTGTGTCTCGAATTCCTTTCCACCATGTTGGTGTGCCAAGGTAAGAGGACAAATGTTCACAGCATCCTAGTACAGTAACAGTTGTATCATCTTCACCTCTCTTAAACAGCACCCCAATGGCTTGATCAGATAACCTCTGCTTCACCTCTTTTAAACAGCACCCCAATGGCTTGATCAGATAACCTCTGCTCTATCATAGAAAAGATGCAGTGTAATTTAGGGCGAACAAAGAAACAGCCAGGTCTGCTCAAAATCCAGTAATAATTTTCTCTGATATGTAAGTCTTGTTTACTGCTAACACGGCATGAAAGCTGGTGGTTCGTCTGCCTTTGCTCTGATTGATATTCCTACCTGGACCTAAGGACACCTACAACTACAGTCACCCTTTATGGCAGCCCCCATCAGCCCCTAGTCCATCTGCAGTCCTACCTCTCATGATCCTACCGCTCATCTGTTAAAAGCAAGCATGAAAACCTGCTGCATATATATTTCAAACATGTTCACTACTAAAGCTCCTTACCAGGCAAAGAAGACAGCTGATCAAAACAAATTTGATTAAATATATGACTTATAAATTTAATGTTTAATTTTTGTCTATATTGTCTGAAATAATATGTAAGTGGATTAGCGGTATGGCACAGTGGGTAAAGGCACTTGCTACCTACCACTCCTAACAACCTGAGATGGATCCTGAGGAGCCCCAGGGGAGAAGAGAACTCCTACAAGTTGTCCTCTGGCCTGATATCCACCTAGCTCTACAGCTCAAGTGCTAAGCAACATGTACCAGATAGAAAATGAAGTAGAAGAATGAGAGAGCTTGAGGTACTTACTAGCAAAAGACATGATGCCCCCGAAGCCCTCGGTGCTGTTGTTGGAGACAGTGGAGTTGGGAGAGCTTGCTCGGGAGTCTGACTCTGCATCTGAGTCACTTGCCAGTTTCAAGCTGTTGGGCCGCAGCAGCTTTTGAGCCCTTAAATGCACAGTGGCACCCATGAGTCCCAGGCAGGAGTACTTAATCTTGGGAGTGGACCTTATGCTACACTGCAATTGCTGTTCTTGTCCCATTATTCCTAAGTCCTTAGTTCAAAGAACTACCCTCTGGGGATGGCAGGATAGCAAGAGCATTCCAACTGAGTAACCCTCACCCGGGGTCTCTGCAGTCAGGTCCTTCAGTCACCCATCTAAAAGGGATTCCCAGGCTCTCACCGATTGCCACCAACATGTTGGCTGAATCGGGGAGTGTAGCTTTCCCCCTCCTCCTCCTCATCTTCCTCAGGGGGGAAGCCATATTGGGGCTCGAAGTATGGATTGCCATAGGTTCGCTGGCACACTGACCCCTCTTCAGTCTCTGTCTGTCTCCTGTCCACAGTAGACTTGCAAATGCTGGGAGGCACAGGAGTGAGGGACTTGGAGCTGCCTGCTGTTGCCTTATCATCCATCTCTGTAGAATCAGCATGTTCCTAGGGGTCACATTAAATAAAACATGGTCACCTGATACCCTGTCTCAGTTCAATGGAACAGACCAGGTCTGTCAGATTCCCAGCCTAAGACGTGTACGGGAGAAGAGCCACAATAATTTGATCTCTGGAAACTATGGAAGCAGATACTAGTGACAGCTTAAAGGAAGCCCGATGGGCCGGGCTGTGGTGGCGCACGCTTTTAATCCCAGCACTTCGGAGGCAGAGGCAGGCAGATCTTTGTGAGTTCGAGACCAGCCTGGTCTACAAGAGCTAGTTCCAGGACAGGCTCTGGGGTTAAAGCTACTTCTCAGAGGCTTTTAGTCAGGAGGTCACAGAGAAACAGGGACATGGGAAGGAGCAGTCGAAGGGCTGCAGTCAGGCTTTCCTAACAGATGGACCAGCACCTCACCATCCCCCCACGTCTCCACGTCTCCACCTCCACATACAGAGTGGGCACCATGGACGGTAGCGCTAGGGCTCCAGCGCAGCGGGGGATTTTCCTGAGAGCTCTCGCTGTCTGGACCGGGCTCCTCTCCCTCTTTCTGGGTCTGCAGCTCATCAATATGCACTTCGCTGGCATCTCCCAGGGCCGCATGCGTCAGAGGATCCACATCTAGCCAGAGAGACAAGCACCAATCACCTCAGCCCCAGAACCCAACCCCTGTTAATAATGGCCAGTCTTCCCAAGCACACTCACTGGGGGTATCTCCATTGATGTCACATTTCATCATTTCACTGACGAAGTCCCCAAGGGAGGAGTAAGAAGAGCTCGAGTCATCATAATCCATGCTGTCACTGCCACTGCAAGGTAAAGAGAAAGGAAGAGGGGCTGTCCCAGAAGACTCCGGTGTTATGGCTCTCCTTGGACCCACATGGTGGGAGAGAACCAACTCCCTCAAGTTCTCCTCTGACCTCAGCATACACACAGGGCCACACAAATGCAAACACACACACACCATAAATTATTTCAAATTTTTTTTTAAAGAAAAGAAGCTTAAGATGTAGCTGAGCTGGTAGAATGCCTGCCCCCATGCAAGAAGGCCTAGGTTCCTTTCTAACTCTGTTCAGTGCACTCCTCAAGCACCACAACTGGGGAGTAGAGACAACAAAAGTTCCAGGTCAGGGGCTGGAGAGATGGCTCAGTGGTTAAGAGCACCGACTGCTCTTCCAGTGGACCCTGGTTCAATTCCCAGCACCCACATGGCAGCTCACAACTGTCTGAAGATCCAGTTGCAGGGGATCTGACACCTTCACACCAATGCACATAAAATAAAGTTAAATAAACCATAAAAAATATTTAAAAAAAAAAGTTCCAGGTCATCCTTAGTCATTTTAATCCAGCTTAGGACACAGGAGGCCTTTTCTCAAAATAAAATGGAAACAACAACAATCAGAAAGGGGGGGACTAAAGAATCCACAGTCTGGGCTGGAGAGATGGCTGAGTGGTTTCAGCACTGGCTACTCTTCCAAAGGACCCAGGTTTGATTCCTAGCACTCATAATGGCAGCTCACAACTGTTCCAGAAGATTTGACACCCTTACATAGACAACACCAATGCACATAAAAGAAAAGAAAAGAAAAAGAACCCACAATTAGTATTTAGAACCCCAAAAAGGGGAGCACAGTCAGCTCAAGGCTAGGGTACAAGACAAAATAAGGATGTCAAGGAAGGCAATCAGAGCTGATTAAGGTGGCTTATGCTGTTATCCCAGACTTCGAGGTAGAACTGTGTGAGTCTGAGGCTATCTTAGGTTACACAGTGACACTCTGTCTCAGCATATAAAAACAGACAAAGGACTAAAGATATGCTTCAACAGTTAACAGCACTTGCTGCCTCCAGCAGACCCAGACCCTGTTCCTAGCACCCACATGGACATCTGTAACTTGTTGTGGGATATCTGTACTGTGTTGAGAAATATTACTTTGATTGGTTTAATAAAGAGCTGAATGGCCAATAGCTAGGCAGAAAGTATAGGCAGGACTTCTGAGCAGAGGGAGAGAAAGTAGGAGAATCTAGGAGCATAAGAGATGCCAAGAGACATGGAGGAAGCGTGATGGGTGGTGGTGTGTGACCAAAACGTAGATTAATAAAAATGGGTTAGGTTATAAGAGCTAGTTAAAATCAAGACTAAGCTAAGGCCAAGTTCATATATTTGGTTATAAGTCTCCGTGTCACTGTTTGGGAGCCGGTTAGCAGTCATTACAGTGACTCTAGGTTCAGGGGATCCAATGCCCTCTTCCTCCCACATCAGGCAAGACACTTAAACACATAAAAATAAAAAATTAAGGGGCTGGAGAGATGGCTCATTGGTTAAGAGCATTGCCTGCTTTTCCAAAGGTCCTGAGTTCAATTTCCAGCAACCACATGGTGGCTCACAACCATCTGTAATGAGGTCTGGTGCAATTCTTCTGGCCTCCAAGCATACACGCAGACAGAATATTGTATACATAATAAATAAATAAATATTTTTTAAAAAAAGAGTACTGGCTGCTCTTCCAGAGGTTGAGGGTTCAATTCCCAGCACCCACATGGCAGCTTACAAGTGTCTTTAAAAAAAAAAATAAAAAATAAAAAAAAATAAAAAATAAAAAATTAAATAAATAATAAAAACAAAACCCACAAAAAGTAACCTACCAAACAAAGGACTGGGGATGTAGCTCAGTAGAGTGCCTTCCTAGCAGATAGGAGGAACTGGCCGCAGTTCCCACAGCACACAAACTGAGTGGTGGTGGCACACACCTTTAATCCCAGCAGAGGCAGGAGGATCTCTGTGAGTTCAAGGCCAACCACTCTACAAGGACAGGCTCTAAAACTGCTGGGAACTCTGTCTCAAAATCCCCCCCAAAAAAACAAACAAAAACAGAAGCAAGCTGGCAAAAAAAATTAAAAGCAAAATAAGAAGGGAAGAGTGGGAGGAAGAGCTGCGGTGACATGACCAAGACATATTGCATATATGTGTAAAACTGTCAAATGATAAATTTAAAATATTCATAGAAGAAGAAGAGGAGGAAGAAACGGGCTGCAGAGATGGCCAAGTGGTAAGGAGAGCTTGCCACATAACCGTAAGGACAGCTTCAGATCCGTAAGGACAGCTTCAGATCCCAGCACCCAACAAACAAGTTAGGTGTGCCACAAACTCCATTAACTCAGTTACAAGGAATGTGAAACCCTCTTCTGGCTTACACACTCACTAGAGAGGAAATCCACAAATATATTCACTAGATGACAGACAAACAGACATGCACATGTAGGCGCATGCGCGCTCTCACACACACACACACACACACACACACACACACAATCAATCTCTGCAAAGCTTCAAAGACTCACATCTACAACTGTATGACATTTTTCCTCCTAGCGTGAGGACTGCTCACCTGTCATCGGTGGGGTCAGAATCAGAATCACGTTCCGGTGGCCCACTCAGGGCCTCAGCCAGCTGAGAACTGCCGTCGTAGACTCGATAATGGATGGGCTGCAGCTGGTGAGCATACCACTTTGGCTTGTCCCCAATAAGGGCTGGATCAAACATATCTACCCAAAGAGGAGAAGCAGTGAGCAATAAGGAAAAGAAGTGGGGAAGTGAGAAGCAGTAAAAGGAAGAGCGGACGCAAAAGAGGCCCTCAAGGGGTGGACTCACTGTTGTGAATCCGCTGAAATGCATAGTTAGAAGGGTTTAGGATCCATTCTCCAAAGTACTCCACAGCTTGAGTCCTGGCCAGTTTCTCAGCAAAGGGAGTCTGTCGGGGACGTGAGGCCAGAAAGGAGCCAGCTTGGAAAGCTACCACAGGTCGGGGGAAGAGTCGCAGGGTACGTGTGTGCATCTGAAAGCCCTGCAGCACGTTAGCAGAGTTGAAGAAACGGACCATGGCCACTCTGGGAAAGAAGGGGGTGGTGAGATAATCCAAGACCCATATCCTGTCGTTAGGCTATGACCCAAGGTCTTAGACTACCTCCTGACACCATTGTTTAACAGGTTTCAACCACCATGGGGTGAGGTCTTAACCAGCAGTCTTGCTCTTCATGCTGAGAGTGTTAACTATTTCTTCTCCTTACTTTTGCTAAGGTAGGAAATACAACCAAATATCACACACATTTTATATAAAGTAAATCTGGCTCTGAGATGTGGTCTCCCCTCCTCAAGTGAGCAGAGAAGCAGACTTAGGAACTTGTGCTCTTACCTCGTTGCAACATCTACTGAGTCGACATCATTGCCATAAATGAGTGGATTGAACTCGGTGGAAGGCGTGGCCTGAAGGTCGCCAGAAGGCCTTCCCAAGAGAAGTGGGATCTCTTGGCCCTCGTGGAATTTCTCCAGATTAAGAATGGGCTGGGTATTGAGACTCATGCTGGCCAGGGCCTGGGAACAAAAAGTCCTCACTTAAGACAGGTTCTCACGCAGTTCCTCAGTTCCTAGGAAAGGGGGTGTTTTAAAGTCTTCTACCTGTCATTCTCTGGTCACAAAATTCTCTACGAGGAACTGTGCTCATCTGAAAAACCAAGGCCAACTCATTCTAGAGTCTGTATCTTTGAAAAAAAAAAGAATCCAAATAATTTAGCTTTTAGAAAATAGCCAGAATTATGTAGCTGTCCACCTTAAGTCAGCAAAGCTCAAGTCATTTTAAATAGAACTTAAGTCCAAGATAACAGTTTCCATTTATGTTAGCCAAGAATGTGATTTTCAAATTGAAAAGAACAAAGAAATAAGAACAAGTGAACTGTAAAAAACAGACCTACCCGGACAAAACAACAAAAACAAAAATCAAAAGCCAGAGCCTTATCTGGCAGTGGTGGCTCGGCCTTTAATCTTAGCACTTGAGAAGCAGAGACAGGCAAATCTCTGAGTTCAAGGCCTGCCCGGTCTACAGAGAAAGTTCCAGAACAGCCACACTTTGCCTCTGAAAACAAACAAACAAAACAAACAAAAAAACCCTAAAACACAAAATCAAACAGAACAACAACAAAAAACCCAGAGCCTCACCAAAACAGCCACAACTATGAAAACAACTCCCCGCAAACAAAATGACAACAGAGTCTCAGGCCAGGTGGGGTGTGGTGGCGCACGCCTTTAATCCCAGCACTCGGGAAGGCAGAGGCAGGCAGATCTCTGTGAGTTCGAGGCCAGCCTTGGTCTACAAGAGCTAGTTCCAGGACAGGCTCCAAAGCCACAGAGAAACCCTGTCTCGAAAAACAATTCGAACAGTCTCAAGTCCCCAACTTAAATTAGCCCCTGAGAGACTCTCCAAGAAGCACCCTGAAGACTACTACTGATCTAAACCATTAGTGTTTCAAAGTGGCTGAGGAATCCCCTGGGCTGGTGTCACACTGTATTTGGAATCAGCACATCTGGGTAATTCTATGCTAATGCTGCTGGTCCATGCCTACACAGTAGTAAGCTGGCATAAATTCATATAGACTCGCTCTTCACATCCTTCCCCCTCCCCCATGCCCTCATTCCGAGATAAGGTTTCATTATATAACCCTGGCTGTCCCGGAACTCACTCTGTAGACCACGTATGCCAGGCTGGCCTGAGTGATGGGACTACAGGTGAGTGCCACCACACCTGACCGGAAGCATACATATACATAGTATCATGTGCAAAGCAGTGTGACAAACAGTGCGTTAAAAAGAACCCTTTAAAATTCATCCTGCTGGCCGGGCAGTGGTGGCGTACACCTTTAATCCCAGCACTCGGGAAGGCAGAGGCAGGCAGATCTCTGTGAGTTCGAGGCCAGCCTGGTCTACAAGAGCTAGTTCCAGGATAGGAACCAATAACTATGGAGAAACCCTGTCTCGAAAAATCCAAAAAAGATTCATCCTGCTGACTTTTAGCTGTTCCCCATTTGGGAGTTCATCCTCGTGGGTCCGCTCCTAATCATTTACGGCAAATGGATGTCACCCATGTTCCTTCTTTTGGGCGCATGCAATATGTTCACGTAACCGTGGCTACACACCCGAGTCTGTAGATGTTAGCACAGAATGAGAGTTGGTCGTGTCCCTGTGTCTGTCACACTATGTCCCACCAAGCAGCATCCTTCTCTAGTCTGGTCTAAATGTCTTGGGGAACATCTGTGGCTATGTAGGATCTATGCAGAGGGGGAAATGCTTACTTAGTATAGGGTTCTGTGCCCATTATCTGTCCAAAGCAGTGGGAAAGTCCCCCTGGTGTATTTCCAATGTATCACACCCCATTTGTCAGCTGGAGAGTAAAGTCACAAAGCTCCTAAAATAATCCTAGACCTAAGTATAGTGTTACAGACCTATAGCCCTGGCTCTCAGGGGGGCTGAGTCAAGAAGATCTGGAGCTTGAGATCAGTTCAGGCTACAGGGCAAGACCCTGATCAGTTCTTGCTGCTTCTGCAACTATCTGAATATGTGCATATTTTTAAAAATAAAAAAATTATAATTCTAAAAAAAAAAAAGATTCATTCTGCTGCACAAAATTTGGATATACTTCTCCTTAAGCCCGTTCAAGGTAAAGAAAATCTATTCCACATGAAGGTTCTTAGACCCACTCCCTTCCAACAGGACCCTGATATCATCTATTACTTACTTTATTTAAGCATTTTATGACATTTTAATTCATACTGTGTTGAGTATGTGGACATGTGTGGGTGCATGCGTGCCACAGCGCGTCTGTGGAGCTCAGAGAATAACTTCCGAGAGTAGGTTCTCTCCTTCTTCCATGTGGGTCCCAGTTGTCAGAGTTGGTGGCAGGCGCCATTATCTGCTGAACCATCTTGCAGACCCTTCCCCTGCTTTCCTTCATTCCTCACCTACCTGCTTCAAGTGTTTTTTCAGCTCTAATGATTCCGGTTCTGGCAGGACAGGTAGCACTTCTGCATTGGTAGGGGCAATCACCTGCAGCAGAGAAAGCAGAAGAAGCCATGACTTTAGAAAGAACTGTCTAGGAGATCTGCTTACATAAGAGCAAATAACATGCCACAGGGAGATGTGATAAACACAACTTCATCACATGTTATCCATACACACGAGAGCTATGCAGACATACATGAGCTACGTCCACATGCCTGAAAAGAAATACACCTAACATTGATGACTATATCTGAATATTATTATGTTATATTTTCTTCTTTACATTTACTTTATTTTTGAAACTTACTTTTATTATTTCTAATTATGTATATGAATGCAGGTGCTAGCAGAAGTCAGAGGTACCAAATCCCCTAAAGCAGGAGTTAAAGAGGGCTATGTGTCACCTGATGTGAGTGATGGGCATTGAACCCAGGTCCTCTGAAGAGCAGTCAGTGCTCTTAACTGCTGAGTCATCTCTCTAGCTCCTATACTTTTCTTTTTCTTTTTACTGTATTTGTGTTTAGAGGGAGGTGGCATTCCATGTCCCATGTATGAAGGACAGAGGACAACAGGGGTGAATTCTCTCTTTCCACCATGTGGACACTGGGTATTGAATTCAGGCTGTTAGACTTGGACGCAAGAGTTTTTTACCTATTAAACTACCTTGCTGGCCCGGCCCTATACTTAATTTTATTTTCTAAAATTTAATAATGAACACAGAGTAGGCTTTCTATAAGAGTTTTAATATACTCACATTGTGGAATGCTAATATAATTTTAAATATGTGCTGTAAAACAGTTTCTTACTTGAAACTTATGGGAAGCTATCACCTGATTATCTATCTACATTCTATATAATGATATATACAAAAGTAACCATCATGGGGCTCTTTGATTATCTGCAGTACATATAATGACATATATGAAAATAACCATCACGGGGCTCTTTGATTATCTACACTACATATAATGACATATATGAAAATAACCATCACGGGGCTCTTTGAGCATGTAGAAGGAGCTCTTAATTTAGGGCAGACTAAATTCTATAGCCAATGGCCTATCTGCCTACTAAACTCAAAGCCACATTAGAAAAAAAAAACTGTTTTAATAAGTATTATAATAGAAATAACAGTTATCACACATAACTGGGCCTAGAACATGATCCTATCTAAACCTTAGTCCCACGCCTCACCCTATTGCTGTCCAGATCCACTAGCCACACATCGTCAGGCATTTTGAAGTCTAGCTTGTAGAGGAAGAAGCTGGCAGGAACTCCAATGATGTACGGGGTCGGAGCCAAGAGTAGCTGCGGAAAAGATAAACAAAGACAAAGTTTATTGAGGGCATGTAATAAAGTCAGAATTTTTCCAGATAAGGTGTTCTGACACCCTTTCCCAAAATTCTAGCAACTAGGTACTTGCAAAATTTAGAATTTTTCAGATTTTAGAAAGGAAACAATACATTTCAGAATATTAACACCTATTATCATAGGCAAGGAGCCTATGATCACTAACTCTTACAAGCGAAACTACAAATAGCATAGTTTTACCATACAATCAGTTCAAATCCACCCAAAACTTCAGACCGGTAAGTTATATGGGGCAGAGGAGAAGCCGGGGCAGCCCAGCAGGTAGGCTCTGTTGGACTCACCTGCTCAGCTGACGCCATGCAGGTAGGGAGCAGTGGGATGACGGGAAACATGTACTCCAGCGGGTAGATCATTGCCACAAAGGCCATCACAGACATGGAGAGCGCGTTGTAGTCGCGAGACTGTAGCACCACCTGCCACACCACAAATCACCCAGCACGGTAAAACAGCGCCCGGCACCCCAATCCAGTGTCAGGCTCGCCAAGCCTGCGGCTGCTCTGCCACTCCCTCTCGTGGGACTGCATACTGACAGAGAATGCTGGTGTCCCCGGGAAGGAAATCAGTGTAACACAGGATACTCAACTAAGCATTCCACTTGATATCAATATTCAGTTCATGTCTACCAAATCCCTGCTATATACTGCCATCCTGGAAATAAAAAGATGATACGGACGCGCAGTGTCTGTCCTCTGCAAACTCACGACCCAGCTCCCAACAGGTCTAGGTCTACAGAACTGGCCCTCACCTTGTGCTCCAGCAGGATGCAGGTTAGCACCTGAAGACAAGCGTCCACGCCCAGAAGTTCCAGGGGAAGGTGGAGGGGGAAGTCTACTAGGGTGAACCGAGAGGGGTCTGGAAGAGCAAACGTCAGGGCTGGCTGCAGCTCCTGGGGTAGGACCTCAACGTCCACTCGCTTCTGCCCAGAAACAGGTACTGGCGAGCGCAGCAACCGGTAGATCCAGGCCTCAATCTCTCGAAGGTCATGCAGAAGGGCGCTTGACTTTTCCTCCACTAGCAGTGATCCAGTAAAGATTCGCCACATAGTGTCCCTGAGGAGCACACAGCAAGACTCAGACAAACATCACCAGCTGGTACTGCTGCAACCCAATAAACGACAATAATAACTGGAAGAGGCGTTCTGTTAGGAAAGCCCACTCTCTAGTCTCAGAGGGGACCTGAGGTACACATAACAAAAACAGGCACACAACGGTATATGTAATAGAACTCAATGTCATGCCCACCAGCAAACATCAAACCCCTCAGCCATAACAACAGTAGGTGGTCAACTCTCAGCAGTCTTTAGATTGGGACCACAGACTAATCATGTTAACATCTGAATGCTTCCCCTTTCCTCTGCGCATAAGCAGCAAACCATACCTCTGAACGCCGCGTGGGATGCCCAGTTTCTTGCCTAGCAACCGTTCGCTACAGCAGTCTACCAGGCGCTTGAGAGTATACAGACACTCTCTGAAGGTCGAGAAGAAAGGATAGTGGCTGAGCACACACAGGGATGTCAGGGTACTGTTGCGGGAGCGGCTGCCCACTTTTGCACGGCGTTTGCCCCGAGGAGACTGGTTCACGTCAGGAGTGGAGTCAGCACTAGGAGGCTGCAAGGCTGAGCCACTCTCTGAGCTCTGAGTGCCAGCCTCCTTCCCACGGGGTCCTGCTCTAGCTTCGGCCTTTTCCTTGGGCACTCGCTTCTGGAAGGAGCGGTAGAAGTTAACACAGATGCCATAACGGGTGACTCCAGTGTCCTTGTCAGTCAGAGTGAAGACAAAAGAGGTGTCATCGCGAAGGCTCATGCGTCGCTGCCGCACGCTCAGACATCCCTCAGGCTGGCAGAAGAACACCACATCTGGGGGCAGGGGAAACTCAGGGTGATCCTCTAATGGGTACCGCCGCAGCAGTTCGGGTGTCTGAGCCACACTGTCGCTGCTTGGGTGTCTGAAGGACAGAAAGACAGGCTCAGCAGCCCAAAAGCATATACACACTATCACACATTAACCACAATCAACAAATAAAGCTCGAAGATACTTTCGGATAAAGTGAGCTATTATCGGACCTGGATATCTGGGGACTTCTCGCCAAGTTTTACTGGCGGATTGGAGAACGCACTGTCATGAAAGCGCTATCTTGAAAGTTTCAACAAGGAAATCATCACTAACACCCCAAAATGATCAGTATCTTTCAAAGTACCTCGGCTAACAAATTACAAGAATATATGCAGGTGGAGAAGAAAGAAGCAAAACATACTTTCTCCTTTTTACAAACTGTGAAAACATGGCTATAAAAAGTATATTCCAGCTCGTTAGGTTTGGTGGCAATTACCATTACCCACTGAGCCATTTCACCTAACCAAGGATGTGAGTTAAAAGCGGAGTTTTGAGCTGAGTGTGGTGGCACTTGCTTTCAGTACCAGCGCTTGGGATGCAGAGGCAAGTGAATCTCTGAGTTCAAGGTCAGCCTGGTCTTTAGCAAGTTCTAGGTCAGCCAGGGCTACACAGGAGAAATCTCATCTCCAACAAAACAAAACAAAGCTGAGATCTGCTGTCTCTGTCCAGACTGATATTCTTACACCACCCAAATGTATGACTTTTCCTACCAACATCAATGTTCCCATCAGGGAATAACAATGGGAAGAATAAGCTATGCAAAGCAACATGAAAATAAGGTCAGGACATTGTGGCCACCCCAGAAAACAAGATAATTCAGTCTTCTTGGTTACCTTGCCCCTACGATCACTAGATAATCAAGTAATCGAGGGCAGAACTTCTTTTGCACCATGGTTCCAATTTATCAGTTCATTGCAGAGAAACTTCGGGGCACTGGGCGAGAAGTCAGCGTTCCCAGGAGGAATTCTGATATAATCTGAAAATCCAACAGGGGAAAAGTACTGAGAAACATACCCAGCTAGGCTGAAGGGAGCCACCCTCTCAGTTCCGTCCCAGCCAGGGCACAGGTCAGAAGGCTTCCGCTTCATCACTCAGGATAGAATCTGACACTTGCGTAGACTGGTGGCCGTCTAGGTTTATGGGTTCCCAGAGTCAGCTTTCAGGTGGAACAGGGTTGAGGGATATAGCTTACTGGTTGAGCTAAGACTGCACAAGGCCCCAGTTTCCATCTTTAGCAGCACAGAAAGGAGAAGGCAGAGCTGTAGGAATAGGCTCAGCACTGCTAACGAGCTCATCTCCAGCCTCGGTCCTGGGGCTCTGCTTCTGGAAACCAGACCTAGACAGTCTAATCTAGACTGAATAATTATGATAACAGGAGTCGCTGTCAGGGCTACTCCAGCGATCAAGCCAAACCAGACTCTGAACAGCACTAATCTGTGCTTTTACATCTAGATGGAAACTGAATTATTCTGTCTCACTAAGCAGCTTTCATCTTGATGTGGAACTATCATATAGACCTTTCAGTTAATTGCACTCAGACGGGTAACAACAGCTGGATCTCTAGGTCACATGATCTCACATGAAGACCGGCTATGTCCCAACTACATCATCTCTAACCAGTTTTTTTCCTGGTTTTCTCTGTAGCTTTGGAGCCTGTCCTGGAACTAACTCTTATAGACTAGGCTGGCCTCGAACCCATAGAGATCCACCTGCCTCTGCCTCCCGAGTAATGGGATTAAAGTCCACTGCCCGGCCTAACCAGTTTTCCCAGTACAAGCTAGAAAAGGGGCCCCAGCAACTGCTATTACCTCTGCCCTTGGTGCTGAACCAATAGCTCTGTCTGGTTTTGGGATCTGAAAGTAAAACATGTTCCCAGGGGTCTTTCTCTATCTCACAGAGATTATGAATTAGGGACTGAAAATACTACTAGGTCTTCTGCAAGTACAGAAGAGGTGTGCAGGAAAATTTCTAAATATATTAAAAACTAATTATTACCTAGGGCCAGAGAAATGGTTCAGCAGTTACGACCACTCCTGTCTCTTCCCAGGCAGCTGTCTATGACATATATTTCTAAATAAAATGTTTTTCTCCCAGATTTCGCTTCTATGGCCACACTGAGACTATGTTCACTGTATGCATGCATATGTGTACACACAATCCTGTTACACTACTACACACACCTAAACACATTCCACTTCATTTGCTGTGTCCACTCCCATACTGCAGACACGGATATTACCTGTAATACTGAGGGCACATTTGATTTAGGTAGTGAGTTCTTTTGACCTCTTCTACCCATAAAGAAGATCTATTTACAATACCTCTCGTGTCCTCAAAATACTGTTCCTCTTTCCCCCTTGCTCTCAATAGAGGACCCATAGGTAATAGGATTCAGTTTTGTCTCCACAGCGACGCTGACTCCAAGCACTATTTATAGCAGAGCCCCTCCCCTGCTTGGTGACCGAACAGTGTGCTAGCGGCTAATACTCCAAAGTTAGCCATGGCCCATAGCACTTCATTCTTCCTAACCCTGGAGGCTCCTATACCCTTGGCAGCACTTATAGGAATCAGGTTATCTTCACTTTAGCGTTTGTTTGCTTTTTTAAATCCCACTAGCAGCTTTTAAGAGGAATCGCTCTTCACACCAAGTTCCTGAGCATGCCACACGCTCAGTCATTTCTAGGGTTCATCACTCTTAATAACCCCAACTACCATGCTCATTGCCATGAGCTTACTGCAGAAGTGGGTCACCCCGATAGAGCGGCGTGCCCCTTCTCCTAAGAAAAATGAAAGAGAAAAACAGAGCTATGAAATGGGATATAGACAAAAGTCATGTGTTCTATATAGAAATATCTAGCTATCAACAAGACCCATATACGGCACCTTATCACAAAACAGAATTTGTAGGACCTGAGTTGTAGGCTGTCTTTGAATGAAGGTTTATACTGAAAATCAGAAGCAGCATCCTCTAGCTAAAATCCCAAAGGTGGTGTAGAAGTTTTCTCATACTAGTAAGTTAGTTACAGGGGCCTTTCCAGTATTGGTGAGATAAAGCCCCTCTCCCACCGCACGCCAGTTACCGTATTCTACTCCTTCATCTCCTTCCAGAGCTGACTTTAGATACTCAGACTACAGAGATAACCAAGGCTGTTCTCCTTCTCTGCCTTCCCCACAGACGCTAAATCCTCTAACGCCACCTATAACTCATGCAGTCTTCAAAACCAGCCAGGATCGGACTCTGCCTCTTGTTTCAATTTTATTTACTGAGGTGGAGCCCCTTGCCTGTCCCACTGTAGTCCAAATTTCTAAATGTATTCCTTTTTGCTATAATCCTACATCACCACCACGTCTGGAAACCACGGATCTTGTGGTAATCTGTCTTTTCAGCCTACAATGGCCATGCCACCAACCCTGTGGGTTCATCCCTCAGTTGAGGCAGGATCTCATAGTAAAAACCACAGGAACTCGACCCAAGGACGATATGACATCTTCGCTGACGTGAGCACGAAGGGAGGCTTCCTCTCCTTCCTCCTCCTCCCCAGGCAGTGACCTTGCAAGCTCATCAGCAGACTGGTCCAGCGTGGGGGAGAACTGGTGCAATGAAGCCAGCGATGGTTAGGACAGAGGAAGGAGGAGAGGCGAGCACGAGGAAGAACTGAACTGCCGGGGAACGGAGGGAGCAGTTGCAGAAAGATTAAATGGTGTGCCTGGTCTTCAGCAAGTCAATACTGAAGGACGAAATGTAAATATATATGTATATATTAGAGAATCAAACGTGGTTCTTCAAACGCTAATCAAAAATAAGGCGTGCGCACGCACGCGCACACGCGCCAGGCGCTGGCGCCTTCCTCGGGCCCGGGGCTGGACAGCTCCTCGCCCCCACCCCAGAACCCGGCGGGCGAGCCGGCGAGCGGCGGCGCTCAGCGCGAGCCCAGCCCTGGGCACCTGGGCAGCGCGGGCGCCCCACCTGGACCCCGCGGCACTTTCTCCGCAGGCTCCACGCCCCCTCGCTCGCTCCTTCAGGGCCGCCTCACAGACCCGTTCCTCCGGTAGCCGCCGGTTCCTCTCAAAGCCCCACGCAGGGCTCCCCACGGCGCGCGCTCCCCTACCTCCCAGCTCAGAAGAACCTGTCGGGCCCGCCTGCCGCCTCCCGGCTTCCGAGCTCGGCGCCACGGCGAGCAGGCGCCAGTTCCGCGTCCGCACCGGGGGTGCGACCCACTCAGACCTGCTGCGGGAAGCGGGCGGCTGAGGGGCCCGGGCCGTACCATTCGCCGCGGGGAACAGGGCTGCACCAAACCGAGCGGCTACGCACACCTATCGCCGTGGGAGTGGGAACGCGATGGGAGGCACTGGGCTAGCCCAGTGCTGGTAGGTGCCAAGGGGAGGACCCAAAGGAATACATTTTGTTTTGATTACTCAAACGGTTTTTAATTCGACTTGAATATAGAGCCCGTCTTGACGAAACAGTGTTTAATATGAAAATACTTCGTAAGATAAACTGCCCCTAAGACTTTCTGACAGTTTCTTCAAACCTCATCTGGGTCCCCCTGCACGCTGTTTGGACGTGCCCAGCCGGCCCGGCAGGAAAGCCAACTAGAAGGCCGGTGGACTCAACCAATTCTGTATGGCGGGGACGCTCCGGGCTGACGCTGCCAGGGCTGCACCTACACCAAGGTAGGGGAACGAGAACGGTGACGCGAGGCCCGCTGGGAAATGGAGTCCAGTCCTTTTGACAACTCAAACCCTGGTCATCCTCCACCGAGCCTCCAGGGACTTTTCTTTGAGTCCCCCGGGCCCAGAAACCGAAGGGAAAGATTACCCAGCCCTGAGTCTTTACGGCTGTCCTCCTTTTTCAGATGCCAATGTTAAAAGTAAGACGTTTTACACACACACACACACACACACACACACACACACACACGTGAAGTGTACCGCTAAGTTACCGCTCCCTCCCCCACCCCCACAGTAAGAGCACCTGCTCCTACCTGGATAATTAAAGGGGAAGGTGCACCTAAACCCAAACACTTCTCTTACGCCGTGGACCTAGTGAACAGAAAATGTCATCTGTGATTTGCCCCTCTGCTGAGTCTGGAGGCAGATCCTAATGGACACAGGTTCCTCCTCCACAGCACTCCCGCCCAGATCCAGAAATTTATTTCCCTAGTTCTGTATTCATCTTGGCCTTTCTGTTCCAAGTGCCAGACTTGTTGGTGAAGCAGCCGGGCTGCAGAGTGATAGTGGAGAATTTCTTTGGGGCCCTATGGGGAAAAACAGGAAGTGGTAGAGGCAAGATGGGTAGGCCCGTGCAAAGTGGCCTACCTGGCTAGTTTATTTGGTTGGGTCAATAAGGTCTTCAGATGGTGCACAATGTTAGTAGGTCCCCAACTGGCCAGCAGCCACAAAACACCCAGCCCTTTGACTCTCCTTTAATGCCATACAAGGATCTCCTTCTCGGGGGGGCCCCCAGGAATGTTTGCCCTTCTCAGTCTGCTCCACCTCTAGGAAGCAGTCAGTAAGCCTCCGTAAGTGTTGCTCACAGCGCAGAGGACATGGTGGAAGGACAGTCATTCGTGCACATCCCAGATCTCAGACAGAAGTGGGGGAAGTTTTTTGTCCTGTAGGCGAAGTGCAAACACTTGCTCTGAATGGACGCTGCTCAAAGTGCGGAGGCTCACCAATTTCATCAGCATCCGTGGGAACATCAGTCGGTCCTGAAAAAAAAAAAGAAAAGAAAGGAAGGAAAAATCTAGCTGTTGCTCTTCCCTAGAGAAGGTGAGATTGGCAGGGAACCGCCCCTGCTAGGTGTAGGCAGAAGTCTGAAAGAAAGTGGACATCAGAAAATGGGCCTGAAGAGCAGAAGGAAAGGCACTGGGGAGACTCACGTGGGGGTGGTTGATGGAGACATAGGCATGCAGGGCCTCCACATATGTGTGCTGCAGCCTCTCCACTTGGAGCTGGTCCTGCACGTTGGGCCGGTCTATAGGTCACCAACAAAGTTGAGGAGCAGGTCTGGCCAAGGTCTTGGTTCCATATCCCAAATCACAACTCCCAAATAGGGCCGTGTCCCATCCCACCCTACCTCTCATCCACAAGTAACCCAGCAGGGCCCTTTCTTACTCAGTTTCCCTCTCGCCCCTCCTCCGCACCTGCAGAGAAGATGCTGATGGCGATGAGCAGAGCAAACTCGGCGTCGTTCAGCTGCAGCTCATTCATGGCTCTGGAGAACTCGAAGATGGGATTGATGAACTCCACCTGAAGCCCTGGGGGAGAAGAGCGGGGAGAATGTCCTCCAACTCAGTGTGGGAATGGCTAAAAAGCCGCTAAAAGCTCTCCAGGTTTCTGCTACTCAAGAACAAGCTTCTCAACTTCTCTGAGTCTCCTCTGAAATCCGAGTCAGTGCACTGGGATTGGTAGCGCAGGGATGTAATTCCAGCGCTTGAAAGACTGAGGCAAGAGGATTCCAAGTTTCAAGCTAGTTTGGATCACATAGCAAGATCCTATCTCAAAACAAAACAAAACAGAAACCTGTTGTGATGGTGTGAAGGCTACTTGACCATCAACTTGACAGACTCAGAAGTCACTTAGAGAAACCTCTGAACACATCTGTGAGGGACTGAATACAAAGAAAGCTGAGCACTTGCTTGTCTGTTTCTGCTTCCTGAGTGGATCCCCTGTGACTGTCTCCACCAGGGATTCTTAACTGTGGGGCGTGACCCCTTTGGGGCTAGCATATCAGATATTTACATTTCGATTTATAACAGTAGCAAAATTACAGTTATGAAGTAGCAACAGAATAATCTTATGGTTGGGGTCCCCACGACATGAGGAGGTTTATTAAAGGGTCACAGCGTTGGGAAGGCTACACCATGATGAGCTACACCATCAAGCCAGGAGCCAACACAACCCTTCCTTCCTTTAAAAAAAAAAAAACAAAGGATTTATTTATGCATGAGTGCTCTATTTGCCCGAATGACAGAAGAGGGCATCAGACCCCATTACAGATGGCTGGGAGCCACCATGTGGGTGTTGGGAATTGAACTCAGGGCCTCTGGATGAGCAGCCAGTGCTCTTAACTGCTACGCCATCTCTCCAGGTCCCAACTCTTGTCATGGAATTGGAAAAAAAAATAATGCAGATGGTTATATGATAAAGTATACAGAAGGCTTAGCACAAAAAGTGCTGAATCAAGCAGGGCAATGGTGGCGCATGCCTTTAATCCCAGCACTCGGGAGGCAGAGTCAGGTGGATCTCTGTGAGTTCAAGACCAGCGTGGTCTACAGAGCTAGTTCCAGGACAGGCTCCAAAGCCACAGAAAAACCCTGTCTTGAAAAACCAAAAAAAAAAAAAAAAAAAAAAAAAAAGTGACT